ATAGCTTTTTCCAAAGAACTCCAATGGCAGCCATGGCCAAAACGCTTGCTAACGTGGGCATCCGAGCAGCGGAGTTCCCGGAGTCCGACGAAGGCTCTGTTTGAGGCTCCACAGGACTTAACTGCCGGCTTCTTTCCGCCCCTCCCCAGGGTGAGAGTCTGGGTCCTCTGCCCCAACCATCTGCTTCGGTGAATATGCCAGACCCACCCAGGGCGACCAACGCTGACAGCCTCGCTCCTCACTCCACGTGCTGATGGTGGCCCCGTTCAGGCCTCGGTATTCAGTGTGGCAGGGGTAGGTGGCTTCTTCTCCCCAAGGGATGGTCACCCAGCGCTGCCAGGTTCCATTCTTGCTGGGCTGGCCCCCTCCGTGGTCTGAGCGCAGGCCTCCCTGACCCCTTAGCGAGAATCAGTATCAGTTTGATACTGCAGAAGAGGAAACACAGGGCTGGGCACCGCACCACTGCTTCCTGCCAAGAGGTCCCATGGCTGGTCACATATATTGAAGGAGGTTCTGAGGGGCAGCGGTGGGAGGGAGAATGGGCCCTGGGCCCTCCCTTCTGAGATACTAGCTCACTCCACGAGACCAGCAACCACTTGTAGGCTGGCCTCAGCCCCTCACGTCTCTGGAAACCCTTGTGGATGGGCAGGTGTTACGGGTTGAAATGCGTCCCCCACTAAAATGATTGTTGCAGTCCTAACTCCCAGCACCTGTAAATGTGACCTTATTTGAAAACAAAGTTGTTTTTTTTTCCAAATGATCAAACTAAGCTAAGGCCATTAGGGTGGGACCTAATCCAGTAGGACTGATTCTGACCCAGAGAAGTTCACAGAGGGAAGATGTGAAGACACAGGGGGTAACCCACTGCAGGCTAGATGCCAGGAGAGGGACCTGAAACAGATTTTCTCTTGCCTTGCTCAGAAGGAACCAACCTTGTCAACACTTTAATTTTAGAATTAACCCCAGAACAGTAATTTCAAATTGTCCAAGTCCTGCTTGTTACCCGAGGAGAGGAAAGGAAAGGGAAATGCAATTTGCAGAATGCTAGCCCTGTACTAAGGATCATCCTAGCCTATTTATATAGGAGAAACTTACTCTCAATATCTTCTTTTTTTTTTTAAGATTTTATTTATTTATTTAAAAGAGAGAATGAGATAGAGAGAGCATGAGAGGGGGGAGGGTCAGAGGGAGAAGCAGCCTCCCTGCTCAGCAGGGAGCCCGATGCAGGACTCGATCCCAGGACTCCAGGATCATGACCTGAGCCGAGGGCGGTCGCTTAACCAACTGAGCCACCCAGGCGCCCTATCTTACTCTCAATATCTTCTTAAAAATATATTATCCTGGGACGCCTGGGTGGCTCCGTTGGTTAAGCTCCTGACTCTTGATTTCAGCTCAGGTCATGATCTCAGGGTTGTGAGATCACATCCAGCTCCATGCTGTTTGTCCCTCTCTCTCTGCTCCTTCCCCCACTCTCTCAAATAAATAAATAAATAAAATCCTTAATAGATATATTATCCCTATTCGCAGATTGGGAATTGAGGGTCTTGCCCAAGTTCACGGAGGCGAATAACTCTGTGAACTCACAGAAATGAATAACTTTCTGCCTTAATGACTTCAGTAGAATCAGAGAGGAACCAGGCCAGGTTCTACAGAAGCTGTGTTTCACTCCACCTGGTTCCTGATTGTTTCTCTGTCTTCCTCTGAAGCAGGTGGTCTAAACACAGGATGAGTTCCTAGGAATGCCAGAACTTGTTAGGAAAGCTTAGTTTCCTGTCTTCATGTACACATTCACACAAGGAAACATGCCTTGTGCCCATGTAGGCTCCCTTCCGCCTGGTTGCTCCCCTGACTTCTCTCCCTCCCCCAAAGACCCCTTCAAGCTCCGTCCACAGGAACAGTAACTTTCTAGGCCAAGAATGTTTGTTCCTCTCTCTCTCTTCTCTTTCCCTTGAACTCCTGCTTCGCAGTGAGCCCGGTGACCTCGATCTATACCGTTTAGCACTGTTGCCTCATATAAGTACTCAATAAATATGTGTGGATTGAGTAAACAAATGAGCAAATGAATGAATGTCCAACATCAGACCATGAAGCCAACGGAAACCCACTTGGGAAGACTTCCTGGCTCTCTATATTCCTGGGGCCCCTGGTACTCATGAACACTAGGGAACACATTGCATGAACTTACATATATACATTAGTATATTGCCTCTCTACTAGATTCGTCACTGCCTGACACCTTCTCTTTTCTTCTTGATAATCCTGATGCTTTGTGGAGTAACCGCACAGAGCTACACAGTTGCTTCTACCATAACCCAGTGTATATATTCCTGAAAAACCTCACAGTCTTAAAAAAAAGACACTCACATTAACAGGGGTCATGGAAAACTGGGATGGGGCAGAAAACTCAAAACTCTTTTAACAGGTGTGCAAAGGGAAGGTGTACCTGTTTTCCCCCCATGTGCTCAGAGTGGATCTTTCATTAACTCAGAACCTTGCTCTGATGTTCTGTTAATTGATGGATGATCATTAGATAGACACTTCGATACATTTCTTTTTTTGAAAGACTTTATTTATTTATTTGAGAGAGAGAGAGCGCACGCATGAGCCTGTGTGAGAAAAAGAAAGAGGGGGGCGCCTGGGTGACTCAGTGGGTTGAGCATCTGCCTTTGGCTCAGGTCATGATCTCAGGGTCCTGGGATCAAGCCCCCCCAACCTTGGGCTCCTTGCTCTGCAGGGAGTCTGCTTCTCCCTCCCCCTCTGTCCCTCTCCCCACCCCATCTCCTGCTCATGTTCTCTCTCTCTCAAATATAATTAAAAAAAAAAAAAAAAGAAAGAAAGAGAGCAGGAGCAGGGGGACCAGAGAGAAAAGCAGGCTCCCTGCTGATCAAGGAGTCCAATGCGGGGGCTCAATCCCAAGACCCTCTGGGATCATGACCTGAGCCAAAGGCAGATGCTTAACCAACTGAGCCACCCAGGTGCCCCCACTTAAATACATTTCAAGATAGAACACTGAGACACCTCTTAAGCATTACTTTAAGTTCATATGCTTTTGCTTTTTATTTGTTTATGCCCTAGAGAGACTGTATCTTTGGGTCTGTTAATGAACATGTTTACTTTTGTCACTTTGAGTAGCTCTACACACATGACCTAACATTCATATAATCAGCTCCCAGGACAAGAGAAAGAATGCGGGGCTGACAGAGTATTTGAAGAAATAATGTCTGAAAATCTCAAACTTTGGTGAAAAGACACAAACTGCATAAACCCTAAGTAAAATATAACCAAAGAAACTCATGCCAATCACTTTGTAATTAAAATTCTAGAAACTAAAGACAGATTAAAAATCTTAAAAGCATTTAGAAAGAAACAAGCGATGTGGGGACAACTCAGAGGACAGTGGGTTGTTCCTCTGAAGGAACGGGGGCCAGAAGGAAAGGGCACACGCTTTTGGGGCAGTGAAAGAAAAGAATTGTTAACTGCTAATTCTATATCCTTTAGGTAAAACTACCTTCAGGAATGAAGGGGAGATAAAGACATTCTCAGATGCAGGAAACCTGAAAGAACTTTCTGCTAACAGATCTATCTTTAAAGAATGACTAGAGAAAGTTCTTGAAAGAGAAAAGAAATGATAAAAGAAGGCGTCTTAGGATACCAGGAAGGAAGAACTTACAATGGCAAGACCAGAAATATGGGTAAACACATAGGCAAACATTAGATTGCCTTTCTAGTGAGTTTTCTAAATCGTATTTGGTGATTGATACAAAAATTGTAACACAGTTTGATACTCAAGACAATATTTTTAAATAGGGAGGATAAAAATGAAGGGTCCTTGATTAACTTGAGATGATAAAACTTGATCCTAGTAGACTATGAGAAGTCATATGCATTGTAAGACCCAAGAGTAACCACTGACAAAACTGTACAAAGCAATACACTCAAAAATATTATAAATAAATCAAGATGGAATTATTTTTAAAAAACCTGTTCAAATAACCTACAGAAAGACGAGAAAAGAAAAACAGGAAAAACACAGAAAACAAGTAATAACATGGCAGACCTAGACCCTCACATGTCAAAAATCATCTTAAATGTAAATGGTCTAAATACCTAAATCAAAAACAGAAATTGGCAGAGTGGCAAGAAAAAAAAAAAAAAAAAAACCCTAGAATCTTAATTTCTTCTCTATCCTCCATTCAAATCTGCATTTCGCATCTCAGGAAACGTCTCTGCCATTCACTCTAAAGCTAAGGCCGAAATAGCCAAGGTTACTCTCAGGGTCTCGTCCACCGGAATGTAGGCTCTGTGCAAGCTTTTGTTTGATTCATAGGTACAGTTATTATTCTGGGTTGAATCATGCCTGGTCTAAAAAAAAAAAGCTATGTTGTTTGGGTCCTAATTCCTAGCACCTCTGAATGCAACCTTATTTGGAAATAGGGTCTTCATGGAGGTCGTCAGGTTAAAATGAGGTCATTAGGGTGGGCCCTAAACCAATATGACTGGTGTCCTTATAAAACAGGGGAAACTTGGACCGAGACATCCATGCATGGAGGGAAGAAGACGGCCGTCTACAAGTCTAGGAGTGCCGGAGGCTGCCAGAAGACAGACCCACGGCAGATTCTCTTTCTCAGACCTCAGAAAGAACCAACCCTCTCAACACCTTGGTTCTAGATATCCAGCCTCCAGAATGTGGGACAATACACTTCTGTTGGCTGAGCCCCTCAGTCTGTGGTACTTTGTGATAGCAACAAACTAAAATAAGCTAAAACATTTAGAGTACCTGGCTCAGTGCTTTACACACAGTAGACACTCGATAAAAAAAATTGCTTGAAATAAGAAATCGTAGGAGAGACAAGCCTGGGTATTTGTGTTCTAGGAAACAACGGGAAGGAGCTGGGACAATGTGAGTATGCAGATTCTCTTTCCAAACCCTATTTTCAGTTTGGTACCGCAGCCTTGCATTAAGCTATGCCTGAGGCGTCTGAGTCCAGAGTCCCTCTGACTGAATGTCATACAAGGAAAACCCTCAGTCTCCTGCCAACTTGGGCTCCAGTAGCTGCCTGGCTGTTGGTGCGGGGACGTAACCTGGGCATCAGAGTGCCTCTTCCACAGGTTTCCAACCAACCTACCTATTTCCAGTCCTGCTCACAACCCTGACCTCAGAGATACCTGGTGTCTCAAAGACTTATATCTCTCTAGGCTTCTGTGGTGGGGAATTTATTTGTTTCTTACTGGTTTCGTCCCCTTGCTGGGGTTGACCACAGCTTTCTCTGGTCTGGCAAGGCGTTCATCCATGTGCTCTCCAGCTTCCAAAATTCTGTTGACCTCGTTCATGGGTTGTCTCCTCTCCCATCCTCTTCATCTTTGAGGGTTTATGCCTTCTTTGTAAAATCCTTTACCGTTAAAGGGTGGAGGTTGGAGAAGGAGCAGAAACTGACGTGTCCAGCAGTGTGGTTAACTGCAGGTTGGTTCCTTTAAATAAAAAATAATGCAATGTTGGGGCATCTGGGTGGCTCAGTTGGTTAAGTGTCTGCCTTCAGCTCAGGTCATGATTCCGGGGTCCTGGGATCAAGCCCCGCATCAGGCTCCCTGCTCGGCTGGGGGTCTGCTTCTCCCTCTGACCCTCTTCCCTCTCGTGCTCTCTGTCTCTCCTTCTCTCTCTTTCAAATAAATAAATAAAATCTTAAAAAAAATAATGCAATGTAATAGTGGTAAGGTGAACTCTATTTGCTAAGAACCATGTATGAACCTTCTGGATATATGATCTCATTTCAATTTTAAAAATATCTCACCCTCTATCAAGGAGTTTATGGTCAGATTGCAAAGATATGCCCTAGTACATTAACTAGCCAAATAGTAGTGCCCTGGGGTTCTGTTGGATCTATAACCAGTAGGAGAAATAGGTGAAGGTGTAAAGGTGCACAACTGGAATGACAATTCCATTTCTTTGTGCAAACATCATCTAACTCTGAGTCCAAAGACCTGGTTGCTTACTCCTGACCTTTTACTGTACTGTTTACTGCTATTTTTATTGTACTACTGTATGGCTTTACTCCAGCCCCTCTGAACCTCAATCTGCTCATCTGTTAAATGTGGGTAATAATTTCTGATCACCGATCGATTCTTTACGTGAATGACCTCTTACAGCTATTAACAGATATAGACACCAGTAGAAGGTAATAATTACCCAGCAGATTAGGAATGAACTGTATGCAATACATTTTGGTTTAGAGTGCCATCAGAACTAACGACAGACCACGGTGTAAAGGTCTAGTTCAGCTGGGAAGAGTTGGAGGTCAACGCAGTGACTAGCCCTGTTAATTGTTATCTTTCGGCTCCTTTGGCAGCCCTAGAAACTTTCAGGGAGGAAATGTCCTTGATATCTAATATCTTCCAACTGAAACTGTCCATATATTTTTTGCATGACTGATGAGAAAAGCAATAGAACCTACAGTTGTTCACTTTTGTACAACCGGAGTCTTTGTAAGCTTCCCTATCGTGTATCATTTCTGATGAGCATGTGAGTGTGCTTTAAAGACACGTGAATTATAATCAATCTGCAAGGCAAAGTTATATTGCAAAGCCACTTAAACTCTGTAGGTCTCAATTTCCTCGTTTGTAAAGAGGTGATAACAACAGCTATTTCATAAAATGGTATTTAGAGTTAAATTTTAAAGAAGAAAAGAAGTGATAAATGAAGCCCTCAGTACAGTGTCTGGTATATAATCAAGGTTAAGCCATCATGATGATGATGACGATGATATATTCTAAAATATATATTATATATTATACTATTATCTATTCTAATATAATATTATTATATAATAAATACTATATATTATCATATATTCTAAAAATAATATTATTATATAATACTACATGATAATAATAATATTGTCAATGACATTGCTGACCTGAGGATGTCACTTTCTACCAGGTGACAAACGGGTCAGTACCCTCCTACAGATTGCCTATACTGTGGTTTTCTCACTATTAAAATAATAATAATTTTAGGAAGATAAAGCATATGCAGTCTCTCCAGGTCTCTGGGGTTCTTATGCTTAATTTGCTGCTCACATTTAAGATAGAGTTGACGTGGCTTCTCCGAGATTGTTTCCAGACCCGTTCCTCCCTGGGCCTCAGCTCTGCACTCCTGTCCATTCCCTTCCCATGTGTTTTCTTCTTTATTCTAAACTGTAGGCAGTGCAAGCATAGTCATTCGTATTTCTCCTCCTTAGTAACTGTTTGGGGGAGTGAGTGGATCAAGCCTCGCAGGTTTCTTGTCCAAGACAATGTATCTCCTTATGAGGAGTACTGACCCCCAAAGTCCTCAGCTGGCCTGCCTGCTCGACTGTTCTGGGCCCTTATTCCAGCCTCACTGCTTCTCAATACTGTCACGTCAACAGACTGTATGAATGAGGTTTGAAATCTGGGTAGTACAATGTCAACCCAAGGTTAATGATTGAAGACGGTGCCGGCAGCTGCGGGCAGTTTTTATCTGGAGCGCCATCTAGTGTCCAGTCGCGCAAACAGCATCCTGCGGCGTAAATTCCTTGGGGCAGGAAAGGGTGAGGCCAAAGACAATCTGTATTACACCGTTATCCTTCGACAATCCGACTAGGCCTGGACACTTCAGAGGTTAAAAACATAACCTTTATAGTCAGTTCTTTATCTAAAACTCTTTAAAGTTACCAGTTAGCAATCGGGTGTTTTAAAATCAATTACTTAATGTTCTGCATCTCAAGGGCCTCTTCTGTTGGACTTGGATAAGCCCACACTTCCGTGCAGTGTCCTTTGGGGCTTTGTTTGAGGAGTGTGTGTCACAGCCAAGGTGCTGGGTTGATCTTCCACACATCGCGAAGTCACCAACCCTTTCAATACACACTGCTTAATACGTTTATTGTTACTCTTATTAGGACTATCGTCATGGTCATGACTGATACACTTAACCAGGAATCTCAGAATTCTGTTCCCTACTAAGCGCTAGAAGAGCCAGTTCTGGTATTCACCGCTGCACAAGTTTCCTCCTCCTCTCTGTGGTCATTGCCCTCTGAGAATGAAAAGAAGGAACTGAGTACTTTCAAAGTTGCCCTTATAAGATTCGAGGCCTAACCTCCTCCCCCGGGGAAAACCGACTGTTCCCCTCTTTCAGGCCCCCTCTGACGTCTTCTGAACAACCACGGTGACCTCCTTTTCCCTAGTTTCCCCTCCTCCCAACCTTTCCACCATCAGGGGAGAGGCTGTCCTCCTTACTTTCTTATTCCCCGAACCCAGCACAGTGCTGGGCTTCTCGAGGGTGCTGATGAGTTCTTCGTGGAATGAAAGAATTATCCGGCCTGATTTCTCTACACCATTTAGACAAGAGTCCAAGTCACTCAATTTGTTCCTCTCATGTTCTTTCCTGCCTCTGGACGTCCTGTAGTCTTAGGGCTTCCCAGGGGCCCCCGGATCACCGTCTGTCAAATGGGGATAGTAATTTCTGTTCACCAAAAGGGAGAGAAAACTGTTAAGTGTGTAATGAGAGGTTAATAATTACCCAAAGGCCTGGAGAAATTGCCTCTAAAATAAGAGTTGGTTAGTTCGGAGCGCCACCTAGCGTCAACCAGGACAAACAACACGAGGCATTGTAAATTGCTTCTGCCGGGAAGGTGTGAGTTCCAAAAAGGATCTCCTTGCCTGCGGAAGGCCTCCTACCTAAAACTCACTAAACAGATTAATAAGTAATAGTTGGGGTGTACTTTGATTTATGCACTTTATAAGTTAAAAAACAAGTCTTATCTTCGACTGTAGTTCAATGGGTATTTGTGTGTGCACAAGTGTTGGGGACATGGATTGTACTGTCTTCACGGCTTGTCCCAGGAGGAATCTGAATTCTCAATCTCCGTTTTCTTACTGATGAAATGATATTGAATGTAAAGGACGTACAGGATGGTGGTGAAGATGGAACGAAAATAGTGCATATAATGCCTGGTCCATACAGGGTGCAGTTACCTGTTATCTTTATCAGTACTATGGACACTGTTGAACCAACAGTTGCAGGATTGTGCTGTGTTATGTTTATAGTAATATATGTGTGCTTTTAAAACAAATTTTTATTTAATATGTATATATAAGATTTTGTACTTATAATATGGCAGGTACTATTCTAAGAGCTACATAAATATTAACTCATTAATTCACATAACAGCCTATGAATCAGGTAGTATTACTGACATTTATAGATGAGAAGACTGAAACAGAGAAATTAAATAACTTGTCCAATGGTAAAGTTGAACTTGAACCCAGGCATTCCAGCCTCTGAGGCAGTCATTTTGATAAATATACTATGCCACCTCTGTATTTTTCTTGGATTATTTTATAAAATTAAGAGGCAATATAAATGCCTCTTAATTATTAACCATGAAAAGTATAAGAAATCTATGTATTACCTGAAGCATAGCTACAAATCCGTAGGTAGACTAATGGAATAAGAATTTGGTCCCAACAAGGATTTCTGTTGAACTTAAGCAGGTTTAGGTGAGTTTAGTAGTAAAAAATGCAGGGTGATGGAGTTCCTTGGTCCCTCTTAGGCAACACACAGCTCTCCCTGACAGCCTTAGCTGCCTGCCATTGAAAGTATGCACACGCCTGCAATGCAGAAGGTGGGGACCAGGTGACTATGTGCGTGTCATCATCCTCTCTTCCCATGGAGTTTTAGGAGTGAGCTCCAAGAAGAGCAATGTGGGGGTAGATTCTGAGTGACAGTGATGGTCCTGGGTTATATGCTCACCTACTACTCCCCAACACGTGCACGTGCACACACACACACAATTACACGCATGCACACACATGCTCATGTGCGCTCACACACCCACATACGTCTCCCTTCTCCAATGGTCCAGCTTCATCTCTTCTCGGAGCACCTGGGTGGCTCAGCTGGTTAAGCGTCTGCCTTCGGCTCAGGTCGTGATCCCAGGGTCCTGGGATCGAGCCCCGCATCGGGCTCCCTGCTCAGAGGGAAGCCAGCTTCTCCCTCTCCCATTCCCCCTGTTTATGTTCTCTCTCTCTGTGTCAATTAAATAAATAAATAAAATCTTTTTAAAAAATAAAAAAAAAAAGAATCTCTTCTCAAGGTTTTCCTTGGGTTAGTACCTAGTCATATTACCTTTCAGAGGCTTCCAGGAGCAACATACCTAATTGAAAGAGGAATAAGCTTGTTGGCGGGTCTATTCTCACCCTCCTCCAAATTAAGGAGAGCACCAACTTTCTCAGCGTCACTCTAAAACAGCAGAGTCCCATGGTGGGTGGATCTCATGGAAAGAAACCTCAAATAAGAGGCAACTGTGTGTTCAGCCCCGTCTCAGCAACTGTATGCATGGGATCTAATTTAATTCTCACTGTATTCCTGGGGGGAGGTGCTATTCCCCTGTGCCAGAGGAGGAAATGGAAGTGGAAAGTCTGAGAACTTAGCAGGGCCACCCCACTGCTGGGTGGAGGAATTGGGATCGTAAACAGTGTGCTTGCTCCGAAACTGCTATCTTTCTACCCTCCTGCACCATGAGCTCAGCTGTGTTCTCTACCTGTCTGTAGGCAGCCTGACAAGTTTCAGGTTAGCCTGGGGCTCCCAGGATTTCCAACTGGCTAGGGAATGCGCAGGTTTTTTTGAGTTGGCCGTCCATCATTTATATATGCAATATAATACATAAAATATAATGTACTATAATATTATATATGATATTATATACCATATGTTATACATACAGATCTATAAAATGTAATATAAATGAATATGTGATATGTTATATATATACAATTATAAACATAGTTAATTTTGTACTTAATGAATACTACCAAGTAAATATAGATACACATTATTAAATTAATTTAACACTCAGTTTTAATTTCTAAAGCAGCTAATATGCCTATAAGTGTAACCATCATTAACGAAATTTGGGGGGCCTTACTGACTTTTAGGAGTGTAAAGGGGTCCTGAAATCTAGAAGTTTGAGATCCACTGCTCTAGGCTGAACTCTGATGTCTTATTTTCCCAACAGAGTTGGTAAGGACTTGCAGGCAAAGGTGTAACCAGCACATGAACATTTTAATTTTTTTATTCTTCTGTTCTCTCCGTGGTTTGGGTCTTTCCGATCAGACTTACAATCTTCTTTAGGCTGCAAATCTCCGGAAGCTCTTTCCTGCATATTTTTTCTCAGGCTGCCCTTTATCAACCACCTCACAGTGGACCAAAGTACTAGCCATTTACACTCGAGCAGGCAGCGCAGTGGAGGGGCTGCGATTATTAGCCTCATCCACTGGTGAGTCAGGAAGAAGCAGGTTTTAATCGCTCCCAGTGGGGGCCTGTAACAGGGTTCACAAATATCAGGTCAGCCACCTTCAGAAGCAGACAGAACCCTATTCTGGTAAAAGGAGGATCCCTACACCTGCTCCAGCAGCAACTCTCACTGTCTTTGTGTCTTTCTTGCTGTTCAAGTCTCTCTCCCCCACATGCTCTGTCCAGTGGCCATTATAGCCTCTTGGACATGACATTCGGCTCTGCATATTTAATTGTGTTCACCAGCTTTCCAGACCTGAAGAGGATGAAAGAAAATTAGCCAATCCATAATATTCAGAAGGTGTGCAAATACAAAAATACACAATTTATTGCATTGCAATATTTGTGTCCTCAGCTTATTGTTGGCTACCTTGAGGCCACCAATTTTGAGTGGGAAGACCACCCTTGACCTGAATTTTCCCTTGGAACTAATTTTAATAGGCTTTCTGTTGCTCACAGGCTTGTTCAATCTTATTTCAAAGCCCGAGACTCCATGACACACCTACCAGATCTAAAGTTACTTTAAAGTGGACAGCCAAAGAGTTTTGTGTCTTCTGATTTTTAGAATGGTTTCTAAAGATTCTGATCTGGAGCACTTAGAACAAACCAACTAACCAGGTGTCGAGGTATAATCTTCAAGAAGTTAAAAATACGCATCTCCTGCAAGTACTGTTTACAGCAGGCTCAAGCATCGGACAAAGAATGATATAAGTCATTAGAGAGGTTGCAAGCAGGATGACCAAGTTAGGTCAAGGCAGGATACAGGAGAATGAAATACGTGTTCAGTCCGGAAAAGAAAAAATGCTGAAAGGCTGAATAACTGGTAGTTTTTCAGATACAAAACTGGTTAAAGTTCTATGAGGCAATGCAATCATCACTTTTAGGGTTATCTTTTCTGCTGGAAAGAGTTCATTTGCCTCTCGACTGGACAAAACCCTGATTAGAGAGTCAATCTTCTACAAGTGAATGTCTAATTTCACATACTCTGGACCTAATCAAAGAGTAAATACGAGGTCAGTTACCTTCTCAAAAGCTGGGCCATCTAGAACGGTAAGCAGTAGTCACCTGTGGCCGGTGAGCACCTGTAAGGTGGCTAGTCTGAAATGGAATGTTCTACGAATGTAAAATACACTCGATTTGGCAGACTTGCCATTTGGGAAAAAAAAAAGGAATATAACTATCTAATTTTTTAAAAATTTTGATTACATGTTGAAATGGTCATAGTTTGGACAGATTGAAGTAGAATATATTATTAAAATTAAATTCACCTGTTTCTTTTTACTTTTGTCAATGGGACTACTAGAAAACTTAGAATTACACATGTGACTCACATTCTATTTTATTGTAGAGCATTGACTTAGAGCATCAAATGACCCACAGATGAACTTATACAATTTCCTAATACAGCTTGGAAGGACACAAAGAAATAGTTTCCCCTTGTTTTTAAGTTTTGGATACCTTTTCTCAACACAAGTTACAGGGATCTGGAAACGGGTTACTTGTTTCTTTGCCTTCTGGGCTATACCATGCAGCCAGGAGGTTGGGAGCAAGACTGAGCGGCAGGTGTCCTAATGACTTGAGATCTGGACATCAGATTTGCATGTGGGGAGATGTGTTTTGATTGATTCAACCTGAGTGATCATATTAGAGAACTGAATCACAGTAATCAAATTTACATGTTGCTGTTTTATAAATCAGGACACCAGTTTATAGTGAAGGGAAGTCCAGTGACCTGGTAATCAAGACTTTCCACTGTTATTTTCCTGGTGGTAAAGCATGCTTAACTGAATTTCAGATGCCTGTAGGGGTGGGGCGGGGGGGGGGGGGTCTCATTGTACAGAGAATCAGAGCGAAGTGCCATGTTCTTATTTTGTTTTGTTATTTTGTTACCAAAGTACATTAGTATGATAAAAGTGCTTTAGTTGTTCAAAGACTTTCAATAACTTCTTACAATTCCTATACCCAAAGTCACAGTGAGGTATGGCAGGTCTAAAGTAGTTTTCTACGGCTGCTCATTCATCCATCACTAATCTTATTAGGCTGTTAATTCCCAGAGGACATGATCAGTACTAGACACAATTTCCAAATGTTGAACAAATGTTGTTCAATAAAACCACGGAGTCATCTGTAGTCCAAAAGATGCCTGATTTTTTATTCATCACCGAACTTAAGTTGTACAACTTGATCACAGTCTAAGGCGGGTCTCTTTAATACATATTTTCATGTCACTGTATATTTGAATGGGAATTTCTGGTAAGTTGTAATACTTCCTTTGTCCCTAAATATAAATATACAATCATATTAAATGCATGAGTAGTAAGTTTATTCAGCCTTTTCTCTTAAGAAAATATTGTGACTGCTGGCAACCAAAGGCTGAAATATGAAGTAACAAACCTTAAAGAAGTAAAGCAAACTTGAGAACCAAATATGGAAGACCGGCTTTAGAGGGGACGAGAAGAGGTGTTCTTATCAACAACAAAAAAATGGTGTAATAATTTATATGTTCCAGTACTTTTCCTCTATTTCTATTTAAAATTTTGCCATCTACGTTGCTCAACTTCAAATATATAGTTCATCTGATAAAATTGTATCACATTAAAGTCAGCTGCTTTACTTCCATCCAGATCTTTGAATTCCCAGTTAGAGAGTGTCCTTCTACAGCATAACATGTGTTAGATATTATTACGAGAAGTAACCTAGAATTTTCATGTGCTGAAATTCATCCCTTTACTGGAGCATATGAAAATAAATAAATAAATGCTTGTTTTCTTTGAAAACAGGTCATCTCAATATCTATAGCTGCCAAGTCTATTGAGGATTTTTTTTTTTTTGCAGGCTTAGGGGGTCTCCCTTCTTCCCTCATTATCCCTATTCTTGAGGGTCAGACCCCCTGCCTTGCACAACCCAGAGGGGAACCTGAGACCTTTTTAAAAACTGCCCAATTTCTCGTCTTTGGAGAAGTGAAGAGTGCCCCGCCCCCATCTGTGAAAAGCCGGATTTGATAAAGAATTTCAGTGTCTTCAAGTCTAAGATTTAAGTCTCTAACCCCCCACGATCCAGGACACCCCCCAAGGCTTCTGGACCCCCTTTCATCCAACCCTAACGGCTTTGGACTGGCCCGGGGAATCCTTGTCCCAGTCCACGGTTCCTGTGGGTCTGGGCGCAGAATTCACAGAGGACCTGTGTTACTTCCCTTGCGAAGAAACAGAATTATCGTGAAAACTGGGGCGGAAACCATTTCGTTTTTGTCTCCCTGAGAAGGGAAGCATGTGCCCAACCACCCCTGAGAAAAAGAACTTTCAGGGGCAAAGGAGCGAACAGGTAATTTAGAAGAAAAACAGAAAGTGGTCTCTGGCCATCCTGGACTTCCCTCGGAGTTGGGGGAGTTGGGGGCGCCTGGACGCGTTGTCTTTGGGCTTGCGGAAAAAATAAACGGCGAGCACGAAGCCTGAGGCTTCTCGGATCCTTTCCCGACCAAAGCCGGGAGATTTGGTGCGGGGCATTTTCACATTTTCCCACTTTTGTGAAGTCGAACAAACACAACTTGGGCGCACGGCGGCGGCTCGGAGCCTGCCAGCCAGGCGGGCGAGCGGAGCACCAATCAGCGCGCGCCTGCGCTCTATATATACGGCGGCCCGGCCGCGGCGCCCCCACGGCGCTCTGCCACTTGTCCCCAGTCCCAGAGCCTCAGCATGTCGGAGACCGCTCCCGCCGCTCCCGCCGCCGCCCCCCCGGTGGAGAAGGCCCCGGTGAAGAAGAAGGCAGCCAAGAAGCCTGCCGGGGCGCGCCGCAAGGCGTCCGGGCCCCCGGTGTCCGAGCTCATCACCAAGGCCGTCGCCGCCTCCAAGGAGCGCAGCGGCGTGTCCCTGGCCGCGCTCAAGAAGGCGCTCGCGGCCGCCGGCTACGACGTGGAGAAGAACAACAGCCGCATCAAGCTGGGCCTCAAGAGCCTGGTGAGCAAGGGCACCCTGGTGCAGACCAAGGGCACCGGCGCCTCGGGCTCCTTCAAGTTCAACAAGAAGGCGGCCTCCGGGGAGGCCAAGCCCAAAGCCAAGAAGGCGGGCGCGGCCAAGCCCAAGAGGGCCTCCGGGGCGGCCAAGAAGCCCAAGAAGGCCGCGGGGGCGAGCACCCCCAAGAAGAGCGCCAAGAAGACCCCCAAGAAGGCCAAGAAGCCCGCGGCGGCGGCTGTCGCCAAGAAAGTGGCCAAGAGTCCGAAGAAGGCGAAGGCTGCCAAGCCCAAGAAGGCCGCCAAGAGCGCAGCTAAGGCTGTGAAGCCCAAGACTGCCAAGCCCAAGGTTGCCAAGCCCAAGAAGGCTGCACCCAAAAAGAAGTAGGTTTTTGATCGTCTGCTTCTAAAACCCAAAAAGGCTCTTTTCAGAGCCACCACTATCTCCGAGAAAGAGCTGAACATTCTTTCCTCTCCCTATGCCTTTTACCTCCTTAACCTCTAGCTCTAGAACAGGGTCGGGGGCGTGGTTGGCCACTTCGGGCTAACACCGACCGGAAAGGGGCGGAGGGCATCCCTGCGCCGCCGTGGGGCGCGTCCCCCGCCCTGCGGTGCCCCGGGTGGCGTCCCCGGCTGCGGTGCGGAAGCGCTGTCCCGAGGCGCGCACTCGTCCACCAGCCCCGCCCCGCGCCGGGTACATCGAAAACAACCACAGATCAGCCAGCCTGTCGGTGTCTTCAGGGGATGCCCCCACTGGATTGGAAAGTCATTCAAAAGTCCCGCCCTGCTCGCGGGTTGGCCCACTCCTCCAGCCCGTGGTTTTCTTCGTGTGTTTTATTGGGTGGCGCCCGGCCCCTTGTGTATTCTACGGATGTTTTGTTTCTGGTGGGTTGGTTTGGGCTTTAACCGCTGATAAACGTGCATCTGGTATTTCGGACACTTCCCATGTTTAGCAAAGTCCAGTAGGGGTGTCCGGGGGGCAGCACGCGGCCCGGGAGGAGGGGATGCAGGCGCCTGCGCCCCGCGATCTCGTGTGCAAGCCCGTGCGCCGCGGCCACCCAGTACCGCGTCTGGACAAGCGCGCAGCGGCGGCGGCGACCCTGCCTCGGCGCACGGCTGGGCCCGCACCCTTCCGTCCCTCGCCTTGGGTATCTTCGGACATGGACAGAGGTGTGATGGATTTGAGCGCATCAAAAACAACTTTTCGTCGGCCATTTTGTCTTGGCAGCGGGTCCCCGAGCCTCATTTTCGGCAGACGTCAACTTCCCCAAACCGGAGACGTTTTAAAGGATTTCTGTGCGGCCCCAAGTCCAACAGTTTCGACGCGAGGAGCAAAATATGGGTAAACAGTTGGGAAGCGTATGCGTGTGTGTGGGGGGTGTCTCTAATGAAGGGCTTTCGTGTATATTCACGATGTTATCTGTGGGTTTTTATATTCGTGGCGTTTCTTCTGGACGGAGAAGGTCCTAGTCCCGTTTATATTCTGGTGAGCACAGATTTTCTTGAGACAAGTTCCAGGAACGGGCTCCTGAGACCTGCAGCTCAGTTCTTTGTCCATTGCCACGATGACGGATCTAGTCGTTAATTAATCTAGATTCGTTCCCCCATTCCTGGTGGGGACCACGGGTTTCGTCCCTGCCCGCAGCGCCCCTCCCGACAGACTGGGGATACTCTGACGTCCGTTGTCGGGAGTAGAAAGACCTCCACTTCCTTGAGAGCGCTTCGCGCGCGCGCGCACACACTCAGCAAGGCAGAATTTTCCCGTGGTTACTTCCCATAATTTTTGTGCTGTTAATTTCACATTTAAAACAATTGAGCCCTCTGTATTTTGTTGTAAGGTTTAATAAATGTATACAACCCTTCCATTTCTGACCCCCCTCCCCTCCCTCCCCTACCCCCATTTTGAGATGCCACCTTTATCATGGGCTAAATTCCTTGGGTAGTTGGGGTAATTCTTGGTTTTCTACTTTGTTCCTTTGATCTTCCTTGGCCATTCCTCAAGTGTGATCACACTGTTAAGTATTGTTCACAGGACTATTTTCAATGCTGAGAATACATGACCTATAGTAGGTATTAAAATAAAAATTGAATGTTTAATAAACTGAGATGTTATGACTGATAGCTGATAGAGCTCATTCCCTCTCGTTGCTCTTCTTTCTCAGAATTTCCTGGTTATTCTATTTTTTATTTCGTTTTTCCAAATGTAATTTAAGATGCTTCCTTCCACCTCTTCACCCCTCCATTACGCATAAAAACCCCTCAATACTGTATGAGTAGTTTCTTTGGGATGATGTTAGATTTACAAATTAATTTGGGGAGATGAATTTTCCTATTCAAAAACATTTTATGTTCCCCCCCCTTTTTTCCCCAAATACTTTGTATCTGTGGAGAATGTTTCAAATTTTCTCCAAATATATCTTCATATTTCTTATTACCTTTATTCCCAGATATTTTGTCATCTTTTTACTGTTGAAATGGCAACCTATGAGATTTAAGCTTGAGGACCAGCATCCCATAAAGTGCACACTGAAGAAGATAGCCAGTTATGGAAGGGATCTATGCCTGTCTGAATTAACAACCTCTAGAACAGTGCTGTCTATAGCCACATAAATAAGGAAAAATGAAACAGGTGAAATCAATTTTAATAACAGTTTATTTAACCTAACATATCCAAAAGATTCTCGTTCAACATAAAAGCAATATAAAAATATTTATGAGATATTTCACATTCTTTTTTGTTTCTCATATTATGTCTTTGGAAACTCTATGCATACAGCACATCTCAGTTCCTGCTAACCTGTTTGAAGAGCTCAGTTAGCTATATGTGGCTTGTGGCAACCATAGGGACAATAAAACTCTAGAATGCCGTTTGGTCCCTAATATCTCGGTCTTCTCTAACCTCATCTTTGGCTTAATGTTTGCATGTCAGTGTGTCAATATACTCTTTTCTGTGGCCTAAACTTTTGGTGAAGTGTCTGACCTTAAAGGATGGTTGACTGGTCCAAAGGGCATTGGGCCAATATGAACCATCAAAAATTTTCTTCCAAAAACTGGAATTGAGTTACAGAAACTGAGGTGACCTGATGTCCGGGGAACTGCCTTCTTAGACACTCGGTAGGAGAAACCGAGAGGTTTTGTGAATAAAAAGAGCAGAATGGGACCAAGTACAGAGCAGAGCAGAGAGGAGAGATGCATAGAGGGGTGTTCTCTGGGCTCCTGACATCGGAGTTCTTGGTTCTCCTAGCCATCGGAACTCCTGCCACTGAGGTCACCTTGCTTGGCTCAGGTTGGGTCAAGTTGTAGCAACCAGAAGACTTCATTAAGACACTTCAAATAGAATCCCAGTTAGTGCTTATGGTTATGGCATAGTGAATATCCATGCTCCCTTTCTCTTTCAAATGCTTTCAAGTCCACACACCTTTGGAGTTTATATATTTGCAGTTGATCCTCACATTGAATGTCTCCTGCAAACATATCTGCCTAGGGAACGGGTGTCCTTTACTTTCAAATGAAATGTATTCATCAAAAACAAATATAATCACCCTTCTCTAGTAAGGCTAAAGGGAGAGTTCATTCGCAGAGAGCTAAAAGTTCTCATAAAAATCTCTAATTTCACCTAGACTTTAGATACAATCTTCACCAATGTTTCTTTGATTTTTGTTCCATTCCCTCACCAGTGTTCACAAAGTTGACTGGGTTAAGTCTGATACTGTAAGCCATTCATTAGACTCTAATTTGGCCGCTTTAAGAAAAAGGTCCTTGTCTTGATTTTTAGTTTATGAAGTCTAGATTTTATTTTGACATTATTAATATTATCATTTTCAATGTTCTACTTATGATCATATTGATAATGGCAATAATAAATTCAAATAATTGCCCAAACATGGCTGATTAGCCAGAACTGCATAAACTAAACTGCTGATTGATAAGTCAACAATGAAAATTCATGATCTCATGTCCATGTATGACAAAAGCATGAGTAACACAGAAATTAAAGGCTACTTGTAATGCATTGTAATGCATTATGCCAAACTTTTTTTTCCTGCCATACATAGTGCTCTCTCTCATGGCTGAAAAATATCCTATTACTTCTCATAGGGAAAGTTCTAGGTATCATTCTATGCCTGAGGGAAGTGGAGAAAGTAACTTTGGGTTGAAATTCATGCCAGAGATGAACAGGTCCAGGAGAAGCAAGATTACACATTAGAGGATTTCACAGTGGAGGGATTTAGGGCAGAGTGGGAGCAATAGCATTGAGAGCTAGCATTTCCTGAGCTCTAATTTACAATGTGCCAAGTATTGTTGCTCATCACTCTACACTTATTATCAAACACCTTGTCAAGCACTTTGAGGTAGGTGTCATTAATACTGGGGATTGGTGATATCAAGAATATAGCTAGGGGCACCTGGGTGGCTCAGTTGGTTAAGCGACTGCCTTCCGCTCAGGTCATGATCCTGGAGTCCCTGGATCGAGTCCCGCATCGGGCTCCCTGCTCAGCGGGGAGTCTGCTTCTCCCTCTGACCCTCCCCCCTCTCATGTGCTCTCTCTCTCTCATTCTCTCTCTCAAATAAATAAATAAAATCTTAAAAAAAAAAAAAGAATATAGCTAGTTTCCTATCAGTGAGCCAGTGTAATTATCCTCTGTATGCTAGTGCTTTTCCTCAGAAATACAATAAGAGCTATATAGGTTATTTGACATTTTCTAGTAGCCACATTTAAAAGAGTAAAAAAACATGTAAAATCTATTTTAATAGTATATTAACTCACTGTAAGAAAAATATTATTTCAACAAGTTATCGAATATAAAAAATATTAAGGAGGGTTTTTTATTCTATTTTTCAGACAGCTCTTTGAAACCTGGTACGTAGTTTACCTTTAAAGCTCATTCTAATTTGGACTAGCCACATTTCAAGTGCATAATAGCTATCCATGGCTAGTGGCTACTATCTTGGACAATATAGCTCCATAGTAAACACTCTGGGGAAGACACAAGCAAATTCTGCTCTGTAGCAGAATCCAGATGTTTCCAAGGAAATGATTATTCTGACCTGGTCCTGAAGCCCAGAGAGCATCCTTAAGACGTGATGTGTCTTCTACTCATTCTACCCACTTCGTCTCATACCAGGCCACTGAGCAGAGGACTCTGACAATAGAAGTTAGCCAGGCCACTGCATCTCCTACCCAGCTAGCCTAATCTGTAAGACAGGAGCAACTAGATCTAAGAATCCCTTTCTGGGCAATCTGATTGATCAGAGGATATTTTGAGTGTAGGTTTGGTGTGAGATTGCCTGTCAATGATATTTAGTAGTGGTATGAATTTGGCCAATTAACTAAAATCTCTTAGGCTAAAGTTCTTCCTCTGTAAAATGGACACTGAGAGAACTTGACTTTCAGTGTTGTATGAAGAATGATATAGGGGTGCCTGGGTGGCTCAATCGGTTGAGCGTCTGACTTGATTTCAGCTCAGGTCTTAATCTCGGCGTCGTGAGTTTGAGCCCTGAATTGGGCCCTGTGCTGGGCGTGGAGCCTACTTAAAAAAAAAAAAGGTAAAGAATGATATATAACAATTCAGGCCTATCAGTTCATGTGGTACTTGACCCATGGAAAACTATGAATGTTAGCTATTAGACTGACTCCAATGAAAACATGGTTTTATTGTTCCTCCCATGGGGACCTCTCTAAAGGAAGATGATATTCAGTCCAGAATAGATCCCTAACACCCTGCAATATTGTCCCAGAGAACTCACATTTACACTGAAAGGGTTCAAATTGCTCGGAGTTGACTTTATATCCTCCCCACTAAGTTTTGTCCTCCTGGTATCTCTGAGAATGGTACCACCATCCAAAGCAGCACGCAAAGCAAAGCTCGGATTATCCCCGGGGCCTACAAGTCATCCCAAACTAGCGATTCTCAACTCCTAGGGCTCTCTGCTAAGGTGTGTTAGAAGAGTGGTAGGAAGGCAGGGGAAGGCCATGTATATAATTTAGAAAAGCATAGACAGTGTTCAGAAGCACATTTACCCTGAAGCTAATGAAACTCAAATGTTAGGCTCAGTACTTCAAAAGCCCTGAGAGGGGCTCTTGGGAGTGTGTTCACTTGGTCTCTCTCTCTCTCTCTCTTTTTTAATAATTTCAATGTTAAGATATTTTATTCATAGCTGGTTAAACCTGTTGTTTATTGCCACTCAATCTTCCCTTTCGTATTACAATTCACCTTTTGCCTGATTATGTTGGGATACTGATGAACACATTTGGATTTGGGTAAGAGAAAATTCACTTCATGTATGTTTAGTTTAGGGTTAACAAGATCTAAAATTTGCAGATGTGCTCACATATAGTTCAGTTGTTCTAGCCAATCGGATGTAAGAGTGGTTTCGAGTATACTCCTATTGCTCACTGACAAACTCACCTGGATTTCAGACATGAAGATGTAGTACCAGATATCATATAATGACATCTATGTATTTGTAGCAACCGCAGTGGGAGTAAAGGTGTATAGTACAGAAGAATCAAGATTTGAAATGTATAGAGCTGAAAGCTAGTCCATGAAGAATCCTAAATTTTACAACTCACATATGGAAGAAGCTTGACAAAGGATTTCCCAAATTTGAAAACAGTCTTAAACATGACACTACCAATAATGTGTTTTGAAGCTGAAACTCAGTTCTAAGTTATCAAGAGAACAAAACAAATTGTGATCAATTTACCCTGGAGGAAATACTGAATTCTCTTCCCACTGTATGTATAACAAATGTTCCTTTTTTTTTTGGTGGGCAGCAAAGCAAGGTTAATTGAGCGATAGCACTAAGTTCCCAAGGAGGCTCGAGGCGACCCAAGAGGGTTGCCCTCCAAAATAATTTTCAAGTAAAAATGGAATCAGAGTATGCAGTCAAAAATATTCTAAGGAAAAAAAAATACAGTGTTGTATTCAAGAGTTAATAAAATGTGCTATTTTTATGAACTTTGTGATGGCTATGGTTTTATTTTTGTAAAATTGGAATTTGGCTCCTCTTTCAATTATAAATTAATACTGTCTAGTTTTGTATTTTAAATTTTGAATTGTAATTATTAAGAGTTGCCAAGTTGTGTAAGTTTTAGGCCTCAGGAAACCTTGAACTACCCTCAGTTTATTATAATTTTATACTTAGAAGATTAAACAAATTAACACTTTAGTCAATAATTTTTTATTTATTAAAAGAGGACATGAGTAGGAGAGACACTTTAGGTAGCAACCTGTCAGAATTTCAAATCCTATTGATTTTAAGATGCATAGGCAAAGAAACTTTGGGATGATACGCAAGTCTTTTTTCTTATTGCATATATGTATTTAGTGGGTCTCTGCTGGTGAGTACATAAGTGTTTCTATCACCCGAGCTTCAGTCGCTTCTCAGGTAGACCAATACAAGATTCTGGAGTCAGGATACATGAAATGTTTTGTGGACTACTGAAAATTTTATGGATACTGAGAATGCGGTTATATTTACTTCTATTATGTTACAGGGGATGGTCAGGACCCTCTACAAACTCACCTGACTAAATGCTATTCTCTTTAATTTAAAAAGGTCCAAATGAACAGGCAAAAGTAAACCAATATAAAGGGTTTTCAAGGAACTGCACTACAAATGTAGAGAAACCTCCCTGGGGAATTTAGGTCCCACCATAAGCTTACTTTGCTCCCTGTTCCTGGTGTACGTGTGAAGCTTGTCTAACTGCTCCAAGAAATTAAACCTGCTTTGAAGTCACCCCGTAAATGATCAATGTACCTTAAAAAACACTTCTAACAGGGCTACGGAAGCCTAAGACAGGGACTTCGCCAATTAACATTCAAGTACCACATCCGAAAGGGTCCTAGCAACTAAATTGTTTCGGTAGTTGATAGTGGTTACAACCGCTTTCAAGAGACTGTGGGTGGCTCTGAAAAGAGCCTTTTGCGATCAGGAGTTTGTTTTACGCCCTCTCCCCGCGGATGCGGCGCGCCAGCTGGATGTCCTTGGGCATGATGGTGACGCGCTTGGCGTGGATGGCGCACAGGTTGGTGTCCTCGAAGAGCCCCACCAGGTAGGCCTCGCACGCCTCCTGCAGGGCCATGACGGCCGAGCTCTGGAAGCGCAGGTCGGTCTTGAAGTCCTGCGCGATCTCGCGCACCAGCCGCTGGAACGGCAGCTTGCGGATCAGCAGCTCGGTGGACTTCTGGTAGCGCCGGATCTCGCGCAGGGCCACCGTGCCGGGCCGGTAGCGGTGCGGCTTCTTGACGCCGCCGGTGGCCGGCGCGCTCTTGCGGGCCGCCTTGGTGGCCAGCTGCTTGCGCGGGGCCTTGCCGCCCGTCGACTTGCGCGCCGTCTGCTTCGTGCGAGCCATCTGGCGAAACTAAAGACACACCAAGCACCTAGCGGGTAAAGGAGAGGATTCCTTTATATACAGTAAGAAGCCTTCTGATTGGCCTTGTACTTTTTCAAAAGAACCGCGCGATAAAACCATTGGTCGAACGGTAACCGCATTGCTTAATTACTGGAGGATCTGATTGGAGGAATCATTCCACCTCTCTCCCTTTCTCATTCAAAGGTTCTTTAACGCTCTCACTCAGTTTAGGTGACCAGCCATTTAAGAAGCATGTTAAATGTAATTTGTGGGGCTCTGTAAATCTAAGTGGGACCTTAAATTCCCCAAATTCTTTACAGACTCGAAGGTTATCAATCCTGAGGGTCTGCACATTTCATTGAGTACAATTTTACCTTGTTACCTTCGCCTCTAGATAGTTGGGTTAGTTTTTTGAAGTAAATCTCGGGTCGCCTGGACAGCCACTTCCTAGGTCTGGTCATTATAGCTCCCCTAATACCGAATTTTCTCGTATGAAACTACATGGCGGCGTCCCTGGGGGATTTGGAATAGCACACGTAAAGCACCGGCTCTGGTAACGCTAGATACAACACTGGGCCGCAACAAATGATCGCTAACTTTTCTTGGGTAAAATGGCTTTTCCTTAAACTGAAAATTTGAAAAGCACGTGGGGCATTATTTTTGGCCCAAAGCAAATTTTCTTCCTGCTTGTACATTTCAGTCCCTTTACACTCTTGTAGCTTAGTTACGTCTGGTATGCACTAAGTTCAGAGTACACGGCCGGTTTCCTTGGATCTCAATGTTTTAACCTAATGTTTTACAAATGTATTCAGGATGGATTCTACCAAGGTAGCATGAACTCGTTACCAGCCTTTCTTGTGAAAATATGGATGGCTCTGAAAAGAGCCTTTAACTTGCTGTAGTTAAGTGGAAGATACGTGCTGTCTGTGCTAGACCTTACTTGCCCTTGGCCTTGTGGTGGCTCTCGGTCTTCTTGGGCAGCAGCACGGCCTGGATGTTGGGCAGGACGCCGCCCTGCGCGATGGTGACGCGGCCCAGCAGCTTGTTGAGCTCCTCGTCGTTGCGGATGGCCAGCTGCAGGTGGCGCGGGATGATGCGCGTCTTCTTGTTGTCGCGCGCCGCGTTGCCCGCCAGCTCCAGGATCTCGGCCGTCAGGTACTCGAGCACGGCCGCCAGGTAGACGGGCGCGCCGGCGCCCACCCGCTCGGCGTAGTTGCCCTTGCGGAGCAGGCGGTGCACGCGGCCCACCGGGAACTGCAGGCCGGCCCGGGATGACCTAGTCTTGGCCTTGGCGCGCGCCTTGCCGCCTTGCTTCCCGCGTCCAGACATGCCAACTCAATTGAACTGAACCTCTGTGAGAAATGAAAAAACGTACGTAACTAGTTTGAAAAAAATCCTTTTATAGTCATCGTAGGGATGAGGCAACGAGCTATCCCATTGGTCAAAATATGTAAGTCTGTATATCCAATAGGAAGAGAGAATCTGTATCCCTTATTTGCATAAACCCCTCCCCTTACTGAAAGCGTTCTGATTTTATCCAATGAGAAGTGAGAATTCTTGAAACTTCATTTGCATTGAAGAACTATAAAAGAATGAGCTCTGGACCCTTCATACCACTAACCTTTGTTGTGGCGAATGCGATTAGCATTTCTACCGCTCCTAAGGAAAAGCCATGCCTGAACCCTCCAAATCTGCTCCGGCCCCGAAGAAGGGCTCCAAGAAAGCCATCACTAAAGCGCAGAAGAAGGACGGCAAGAAGCGCAAGCGCAGCCGCAAGGAGAGCTACTCCATCTATGTGTACAAGGTGCTGAAGCAGGTGCACCCCGACACGGGCATCTCGTCCAAGGCCATGGGCATCATGAACTCGTTCGTCAACGACATCTTCGAGCGCATCGCGGGCGAGGCGTCCCGCCTGGCGCATTACAACAAGCGCTCGACCATCACGTCGCGGGAGATCCAGACGGCCGTGCGCCTGCTGCTGCCCGGGGAGCTGGCCAAGCACGCCGTGTCCGAGGGCACCAAGGCCGTCACCAAGTACACCAGCTCCAAGTGAGCCCGCCTGCAGCCGACCGCAACCCAAAGGCTCTTTTCAGAGCCACCCACTTGATCGAAAGAGAGCTATAACTACCATTTTCGTAGCGGTGTGTGAAAGTGCAAGTCCTTTACTACAGCTTGAGTCCTCAGGAATCTAACCAAAGGATGTTCCTGGAGGCAATGCTAGAACCGAGGATGGATTTGAAAGGTAGCCTTGAGGCGAAATACAGTCCTATGGTGTAATGCCCAAAAGGGCTAATTCACCTCTCTTTCAGCCTAGGTTCCGTTTTTCCCTAAGCCTCAGGATGCTTGTAAGTGTTCACTCTGCCCTTCCCCATGTCCACGTTTCTAGAAGAGATAGGGATTTTCCTGCTAGGTAAAGAAGTGGTTAAAAATTTTCAGAATAGGGACCCTCAGGGGATAATTAATTCAGACTTGCCTAATTGGAAGGAGGAGCAGTTTTGGGCGGCGGAAAGAGAGCAAGTGAGGGCTTAAAGACCTGGACCCTAAATTCCCTGGCCTAAAGCATTGGGTTAACAGTAAACAGCCGCCCGTGGTCCCCGTGGGCATCTCTGGGATATACCTCAAGCTCTGCGCAGATTAAAGGAAATTAGTTGCGCATTAGAATTGTTTACCGATGGCAATAGCCTATCTAAACCCTTTCAGTTTTTCTTGAGTCCCAGAAATCCGAGCTCCCATTTCCTGTTCTGAGTGTCTGGCTTTTCGGGAATGCCACTAGAAGGGCAGGAAGGATGGCCCTCCAGCTATAAGAAGGACAAAAGGTTTGAATTTCCCGCTCTTCCCAATCGCGCCACTTCACTGGCTGGCGGGGAAGGCCCGGGTCAGGAGAGGAAGATGTGCTGGTTTTGGTAAACCTTTTTCAAAGGACCCGGACTCCAAAAATAATCCCCAATAGACAGAAAATGGCCTTGGTTGAGGAAGAGGAGGTAATGGATCAGGTCTAAATCCGGGGCTGGGGGAGGGAAGGAGAATGGGTAGGACTAAGCTGTTGACTGCATACGAAAAAGAGGAAAACAGTGTTTTTCATCTGTTTATGAGCACTTTATGTAGTTGACATACAACAGTGTCTTTGGATGAAGAGATAAAATATACAGTAGAATTTCTTTAAAAGGACCCTTTTATAAAGAAAATTTAAATTTAAATGATCTTTTTCCCAGATCCCACATGTCAGCCAACCGCTCTATGAGTACTTCAAGTCTCAGCAACACAAAATATAGTTGTGAATGAGACCCCAGCCTCAAAAATTAATAATTATAAAAAGACATTCTGCCCCCCCCTTTTTTTAAATTATCTAACTCAGGCAACAGTTTAAGAATCACTGACCCTTAATATTATTTCTTATCCTGTTCAAAATGGTCTGAGGTAGGGATTATTTTCTTCCCATCTTGTCCTTCAAAACTTTTGCCCGCCTGCTTGCTTTCTACCGTTCATCTCTCTCTCTCCTCTCTCTCCCTCCATGCTCCACTTCATTCCTAATATTTGATGCTTTACCTAAAACTTTACCCTTAATTGACAAGTTCAAACTAAACTTGGGTTTGTAAACTCAGACCTAGGCCTTTTTACCATCTGTACTGAATACCTGGCTGATCTCTAATAAGTGAACAGAGAATTTTAAAAAATCAGATGCCTGGACTCTGTGGTAGACTCCCGATCTATAGTGGGGAGTGGTGAGAAAGCAGGGAAAAACTCATAAAATCTCTCCAGCTGCATCTGATGAGGCACCAATTTTGGACACAGCAGAGCCAGCAGGCAAGCCATCCAAGTGAAATTCTACAAGGGTTTATATACCCTCTTCCCTAATAAAATACCCACATTTCCTCCAGAGAGGCAGTTTCTGAGTAAAAAGGCAAATGAGGGGAAAAAAAAAAAAAAAGCCTGTATTACTTCCCTGATTCTCCTTTCAGCCACGGGAAGTTTTGCCTGCCTTCCCATCCAACAAAGATGAGCTGGAGACAGGAAGAGCTCAATCTGCCGGGGAGGGAAAGGGGAGCTGCTCTGGGCTAAGTTCTGGGTGCCAGGAACAAGACATGGGGGGGGGGAGACTTTTAATTTGGAGGAAGGTTGAGAATTTGGAAAAGAGAAGAAAGATCCACAGACACATAACAGGGCATCCAGAAAGTGTTTATGATTCAGGAAATAGGGCACAGTTAGAAATGGGATGCCCTGGCCCTGCTTCCTGGCAGATGAGAGGACACAGACCTCTCAGTCCTGTCTTCAGCATCTCTCTGCAACATTTGATGTCTTTCTTCTTGGCTTTTCGTTTCCATTAAATAATATACACATTTAAGTCAGTTCTTTTTAACTTCCTTGCAAAATAATACCTGCCCGTTATTTTAAAATAACAACCACCACAAATAATTTCAAATAAACAAATGAAAATCAACTGTAATTCCATTATCCAGGACTTTTTTGCCATCAATCTTCTGGAAATTTTATTTTGTGCCAGTCTATATACATATAGATATATCAATGTCATGTGAGTTCGTACTTTCTCTTATCCTTTAAAATTTAACAGAGATCTTGTTGCCAGGTGAACGGGGAAACCCTGGGCCCTGGGGCCTCCACTCGGCCAGTTCCAGAGAGGTGATCAAAGGTTCTTGGTCTTGTCACAAGAAAGAATTCAAGGACAGACATGTAACACATAGGACAAGGGACACAAGCGGGAAAGTTTATTAAAATTAAAATATACCCTTGAGATATGAGAGAGAAGGAGCGGCCTCCCCCTGCTTTTTCTTCCTCACTTGCTCAGGGCTTTCCTGTCGTGGCACTGCCCTTGTGGGCCTGTCTGGTGGGATCCGGCCTCTCGTGGATGCTGCCAGGACAGGCCTCTGACCTTCCCCACAGCTGGCCATGCCCACCTCCTTGCTGGCCTCCGGGCATCCTGTTAGAGCCTAGCCTATTCTAACAGTACCAGAAAGAGAGCTATTGTCAGGGATAACTTTTTTTTTTTTTTTAATCTGAAAAACTTACCTGCAAGGCAAGGCAAATATCTGATTAACCAAACATCTACTCTTACCTTCCTGTGAATTGCCAACTCTCCTCTGTAGCCCCAGGTCCTCACCCCATTCCTTAGCTCAGGATGGCATACAATCATCAATTGCCTGACTGCCTTTGAGTCTCATGTCTTTACGGGGCTCTCAGACATAAGAAATTATATTTGCTTTTCTCCTATTAATCTGCATTGTGTCAAAATGTAATTATTAAACCAGCCAAAGAGCCTAGAAGGGATGAAGGGAACATTTTTCCACCTCTACATTACCACTGCTGGTTTACATATGAAAACAAGCCACTCGTTGAGTTCTATATATTTGCTAACTTTTTGTGTAGTTGTTCTATCAAATGTTGAGAGGGGGTGTTGACCAATCTACCTGTCTACGGATTACTCCTTGCAGTTCTACCAGTTTTCCTCACATATTTTGTAAGGCTGTTATTTGGTACTTACACATTTTTCAAGAATTGCTGGATTTGGGGCACCTGGGTGGCTCAGTCGGTTAAGCACCTGTCTTCAGCTCAGGTCATGATCTCAGGGTCCTGGGATCGAGTCCTGAATCAGGCTCTCTGCTCAGCGGGTGGTCTGCTTCTTCCTCTGCCTGTCATTCCCCCTGCTTGTGCTCTCTCCCTCTCTCTGTCAAATAAATAAAATCTTAAAAAACAAAACAAAAAAGAATTGCTTGGTTTTCTTATGAGATTGACCCTTTTATCATTCTGTAATGTCCTTTTCTATCTCTGGTAATTTTCTTTGCTCTGGTTTACTTACTTGATACTAATACACGCACCCTTGATTCCTTTTGTTGATATTTGCAGGGTTTTTCTTCCTCTACCCTATAATTTCAGCATGCGTGTATCGTTATATTTGAAGTGAGTTCCTGTAGACAATGAAGGGGAACATTATTTGCCACCCTAAAATATGCCTCCTTGGCATAAGGATTACCTAAACTGATTTTTTTGGTAAAGATTTATTTATTTATTTGACAGAGAGAGAGAGAGCACAAGCAGGGGGAGAAGCAGGCAGAGGGAGAAGCAGGTTCCCCGCTGAGCAAGGAGCCTGATGTGGGGCTCGATCCCAGGACTCTGGGACCATGACCTGAGCAAAAGGCAGACGCTTAACGACTGAGCCACCCAGACACCCCTGATTTTTTTTTTTTTAAATAGCAGACATTAAAAAAGCTTTGAAAACCTAGTAGAAGTTAGCCTTTTGTAAGAGAAATTTACATTTACAAGGGAAATCTGCATTTGCAAGAGTGTTTCCCTCTCTGTGCCAGGAAGGATGACTAAACCTGTAGGAACCCACTGGAGAAGGCAAAAACTTCAATCTGCCTAACAACCAAAGCCTTGTTTACGGTGCTTTGCCTGGTAACCTCGCAAAATGGGCCTCCCCACCCTCCACCCTGAATATCTTTTGCCTTTAGCTGGAGCTGGTGTTTAAGGTGGTGGCCTGGGCCATCTGAGTCATTACGCAGTGTTTCCTGGCTCTCCCCCTTGTATACAGGCGGTACACATGTTATTAAACTTCTGGGGTTTTTTGTTTTTTTGTTTTTTTAAAAGCTTTGTTTCCTCCTGTTAATCTGTCTTGTATTACTGGTGGTGGGGGTGGGGGTAGTGGTGGGGGTTCAGCTAACAATCTAGAAGGATAGAGGGAAAATTATTTTTCCTCCCTACAGCATCCATTTGGAGCATGTACTTTTATCCACTCAGCCGATCTCTATTTTTTAATGGATGTATTTAGACCATGTACATTTAATGCAATTATTGACATTGATGGGGTTCAGGGCATACTACCCCAAAAGATGGCACTTTGACATACTGAATATCTTAAGCTAACGCTAGAGGCATTTGGGAAAACAGCAAACCAAGGTTACTTTGACCTCCTCTCCCTCACCCCTCTTCCCTAAAGGCAGGATTAGAAAAACATCACCAGAAACAGGGAATTTAGGGCTGAGAAGACTCTATGAACAAACCTTGTTACTTTTTCACCATTTACTACATTGCCCAAACCCCCTTGTCTTTCCAGTCCTTTAGAAATCTACTTCGTTGCCTAAAGTTATAAAAGCTTCCTGCTTTGGTCACTTCTTTAGGTCTTCATTTTTTTAGGAAGGCTCCCAAGTACATGTAAAAATTCCAGTAAAATGTGTACGCTTTTCTCCTGCTAGTTTATCTTTGTCAGTTTAATTATCACACCCAGCCAGGGACTCTAAAAGGGTTTAGGAAAAATTTTTCTTCCATACATGTTAGGCCTTAAGTTTGCCATTTTACTTTTTGTTTTCTGGTGGGCTTTTTTGTTTGTTTTTAATTTTTCCCTCACTGTTGTTCGTTTCTCTGTTTTCTAATTCACACTTTCCTGTGGGCTGCTTGAATATTTTCTTGAGACAATTTGAATTTGAATCATCTGTTGTCTTTGGATAGTTTTTAGTGGTTGCTCTAGATATTACATACACATAACATCACGGTCCACTGGTATCTATGTTACCAGTTCACCTTTACAAAGCTTGTCTCCTTTTAAATCTTTTTACCCTCTCTTGTTTATAATTATCTGAAATATTCCCTCTATATACATCGAGAACCACGTCAGATAATATAAGAAATTCAGCTTCTAAACATAATTTAGAAAACTCAAGAGAATTGTATTTACTCATATTTGTTTCTTTACTTTCTTCCTTCCTAATGTTCCAAAGATCTTATATAATTTCCATTCTTTTTCAAGAACTTCCTTTTGTCATTCTTCTCTGGAGTGATATGCTAGCAACAAATTCCACTTTACTTCATCTGAGAATGTCTTTATTTCCCCACCGATTCCTAAAGGACATGAAATTCAGAGTGACAGTACTAGTTCCCTTCTTTTAGCTCTTAAAAAATGTGACATTGCCTTTTGGTATGTGGTTTCTGATGAGAAATCTGCTGCCACTTGAATTGATTTTTCCCTTTTATGTAGATTTTATTTCTTTCACTGCTTTCAAGATTTTTTTTGTTTAGTTTTTAGTTTGCATAGGTTAGATTATGATGTGTCTTATGGCAAGAATGTGTTTGGGTTTATTCTACTTGGGGGTTTGTGTAGCTTCTGAGATCTGTAGGTTTACATCTTTTGTCAATTTTAGGAATTCTTGGGCATTATTTCTCCAAATACTTTTCCAATACCACTCTCTTTTCTCCTCTCCTTTTGATTCTCTAAAGACATGAATGTTAGGTCTTTTGTCATTGGCCCACGTGTCTCTGATGATGATTTTTCTCCCCAGTCTATTCTCTCTCTGTTGTTCAAATTGGGTAATTTCTATTTTTCTATCTTCAGATTCACTGATTTTTTTTCCCTCCGTCTTCTCCATTCTGCTGTTGAGCCCATCCATGGAGTTTTTATTTCAGTTGTTGTATTTTTTCAGTTCTAAAATCTGAATTTGGTTCTTCTTTACATCTTTTATCTTTTTTCCAGAGGTTTTCCAGTCTTTCATTTGTTTCAAGTGTGTCTGTAATTGCTCACTGAAGTATTTTTTATGATGGCTGCTTTAAAATCCTGGGTGGATGATTCCCACATGCTGAGAGGGGAGAAGTGCCTCATCATTGCTGAGTAAGTGAAGTCCAGGATCCCCATGTGGCCTCTGTGGATACCTTATGCCTAAGGAGATGGGGAGGCAGATGCACAATTTTTTCCATGGTGTTTCGTTGGAGTACAGTGCTTATTTCCTAAGTTTTCTACTTTCTAGGTCGACCCTTGGTCTTTTGGCTAGAGATGCCAGGTTTTTCTTGTTTTGTGTCTTTATTGTTGCTGTTGTTTGTTTGCTCTCCTTGCCATTTCTAGATTGCCAAGTTCTTCAGCTTGAATGTACTCAAACCCAGACTCTTCCAAATGCTTCTACTTGTAGGGGAGGAACAACTTCTCTCTACACTCACAGGGTCTCCAACTGGGTCTAAGAATTCAACTGACATAGATTAATGGGAAAAAACCTACAAATTTTAATTATTACTTTTTGTTTACATGCACATGGGAGTTTTTGAAAGAAAAATGAAGATCCAAAGAAGCAGTTAGAATGTAATGCTTATATACTGTGTCAGACAAAGAACAGGTGTGTGACAACATGACAGGCAAAGGGGCTGGGGCTGGGGTAGTAACTGGGTGAAGAGACTAGGAAGATTAAGGGTTAGTTTCGCAGTGTTTGTACAGATTTCTCTTAGCCTCAATTTCCCGTCCATGGTGAGAAGAATGACTCTTTCTTTCTGGTATAGGAAGGACATCTTTCACATGGGAATTTCAACCCCTGCTTTTAAGGAAAAAAAGGTAAAAAATAAGATGGTCCTCGCAGCTGTTCTTATGCAAGTCCTTTAACTCCAACTAGTCAATATACCAGAGCAGCATATTTGGGGAGGGCATGTTCTGGACTCCTTCAACAATAACCTCAAGGCCAGTTAGATTTTCTCAAGTGAGTTCAAGTCACATTACACTTTTTTGATTGAGCAAGGAAAAGATATTTACTTTCTTTCATTGCTTATATAAACCCATATGCATCTTGCTCCTGGCGGAAGAGGGGTTACTGGGGACAGCTACTCTTCTCATATTTTTATGGAAGAATTTACCCCCCTCATCTTCCTCCCCAATATCTGCCCTCCACATTATTCTTCAGAGTCAAATGCCTAGATCTTGCTGATTTTGAAAACTTGCTAATAGGATTTCATTAAGTTGTTCTACTCATAGCAGAGGCCAAGTGTTTGTCGATTTGTCTGACGTAGTGACCTAGATAACGGGAAGACTTATTTTCATCTGTGACTCAATGGAGTATAGATTTGTGATGTTGTGACTGCAGTCTAGTTTCTATTCTGGGTTTTTGAAACAGGTCTTAATCTTGCCTTCTATTTTACCTAGCTCTGTACATACCCACTGCTCCATCCAAAGGGACCTACAGTGTATTCAGGAAATTAGAACACTTCTATCTTCTGGCCCTTAGCTTCTGACGTTCCCTTGGCTTTGGATGCATGTGGCCTTTTATTGAAGCATTTATTCTTCTTGTTTGGCTAACTTCTTCCCCTCTGTCAGGTTTGAGCTCAAATGATACCGTCTTGGTGACGCTTTCCCTGACCATCCCTGTATCTATGCCCTTTTCCTACCTTTTGTCCAAACCACTCATCACCAAAAAATGCACTGTGCACTTTTACTATGTACTTAGCTTATTGTGTGCTTCCCCACACTAGAAGAGCTTCACCACAAGGGTATGAACAGGTTGTTATCTGCTTTTTTCACTGCCGCATTCCATGTACCTGGAACACTGGCATGTAGCAGGGATTCAGTAAGTACACGTTGACTGAATGCTGGATGCTCATCTCCCACACACACTCTCTTCCCCTTCTAACCCACAGTGATTACTCTTCTCCTCCATGTGGTCTTATATTACTTATTATTTAAACCTTCTTTTGGGGATGCAGATTATGCTCTACTATTTAGTCTTCAGATATACAATTCTTCCCTTTTCAAGAGTATCAATTCTTCGAGGCAGGATTTCAGATATCTTTTTATATCTCCATCTGGGGTCTGGCAAAGACACTGAGCCAGTGTTTATTATCAGTGTTGTTGATAGTGAAGATAACGATGAAAATAAAAAGTAGGTTGAATATTCTTAAGAGAAAAAGTCAAAAGAGGCAGAAGACTTAAATGAAGGCAAAAAAGAAACAGAAGATGAGCATCTTTACTCTCCTGCCAGGTTCCCTGGATCAAAGGATGGTTCTCCGACAGAGTTGGCTTATGAGTAGATTTTCTCACACATAGGCTCTTGTTCCTTTTACCATCCTGTTTGGGAGTCAGGAGACCTTTAGGCTTGAGCCTGAAAAAATTCCTGAAATAATTATTCACCTCCATCTGGGCCCCATTTAGTTCTATCTCATAGACTATAAAAGGCAAAACGGCATTTCTCCTGGCAATCTCTCTTGATGACAGAGAAATTTCCTGAACCAACTAGAATCCTTTGTGTTGTAGCCAAATGAGAAAAGAGAGAGAGAAGGCAGGAGAATTGGGAATGGCACTGGGAATGATGGCTTTCCCAGTCAGGAGTTTGGAGTCCTTGTCTCATTAACTCAGCGTGAGCCTGCACAAGGTCAAACAAACAATCTCAGTCTCTAAGTTTTTCAGTCTCTAAGGTGAACACAGTACTCTACATACCTTGAGGCTGGTCCCCGTAAGGCCTCGTATGTAAGATAAAGTCTGAAGCAGAAAATTTGCTGTCCTAGGTCAGGGGCTGTATGGTCCAGGTCTTGCCTTCAGTTTTCATTGTTCAGATAATTTAAGATTTGGGCTCTGACAAAGAATTATTATTATTATTATTTTAAGATTTATGTATTTATTTGAGAGCAAGCAAGCGAGGGGTGGGGAGGGCAGAGGGAGAGAGAATCTTAAACCGACTCCGTCCTAAGAGCAGAGGCCCACGCTGGGGCTCCCTGGGGCTCAGTCCCACAACCCTGAGATCAGGTCCAGAGCCTAAACCGAGTCCCATGCTTAACCCACTGCGCCAGCCAGGTTTCCCCGAAGAATCATTTTGTTCGTTTTCTTTCTTTTCTGTTTTAAGGTTCAAAGCGTTAACGCAACTGCTGGAATAGACAGACTTCTTTAAATGTTATTTATTTAGCAATTTTTCTGTTTCTTCCTTTCCACAATCAGTCACAATCCTGGAAAAGGAAAAACGGCCAAAAGACAGAGCAATGAGAACAATCACTTCTGCTTCTGACTGCATTTTGAAATAGTATTATTTGAAAGAACCAAATTGACTCATTTATTAGTATTAAAATAAAAGCTCTTCAGCCTCATGACACTAGAGCATGAAAAAACCTTCCGCTAGGTGGAGGGCATGTATGCAAATGAGGGATGCTGATTCTGCTTTCCCATTGGTTACCTGAAAAGAGCCAATGGGAGGCTTGCAAAGAGCCTACCTCCCGTTAGTATAAATACTTCTCTTGCGCTCGCTCTGGCTCTATACTGCTTGCGTTTTCTTCTGGAGGCGTTTGCTTTTTACACCGTTAGTCATGTCAGGTCGCGGCAAACAAGGCGGCAAGGCCCGCGCCAAGGCCAAGACTCGGTCATCCCGGGCCGGCCTCCAGTTCCCGGTGGGCCGCGTGCACCGCCTGCTCCGCAAGGGCAACTATTCGGAGCGGGTGGGCGCCGGCGCGCCCGTCTACCTGGCGGCCGTGCTCGAGTACCTGACGGCCGAGATCCTGGAGCTGGCGGGCAACGCGGCGCGCGACAACAAGAAGACGCGCATCATCCCGCGCCACCTGCAGCTGGCCATCCGCAACGACGAGGAGCTCAACAAGCTGCTGGGCCGCGTCACCATCGCGCAGGGCGGCGTCCTGCCCAACATCCAGGCCGTGCTGCTGCCCAAGAAGACCGAGAGCCACCACAAGGCCAAGGGAAAGTAAAATGCTGACCGTATTTTCTTACCTGGGTTTTTTCCTAGTTAAGAGTTAACCTAACAACTTGCAAAGGCTCTTTTAAGAGCCACCCACTTTTTCCTTTGAAAGAGCTGTCTTGCTTTGAATTATTACGAGCGTTTAAGAACAAAAGGTGAAATGTCATAATGAACCCTCAGAAAGCTTTACCCACCCCCCTTATAAAAAGTCAGTAATATTAGTTTTGAGGTAAAAGCCACACGTGGGTTTAGTGTACTTGGCTAACTATTGACCGTGTTTGGCCATGTGAGATGGGCTACTTTCTAGTCAGGCAGAAAGGGCTATATTCTACAGATCAAGTTTGAAAGTTTATCGCAAGGACAGCTTTACGTTTTGGAAAATGAAAATAGTGAAAGGCGCTGGGATCTTAAGTTCTTTAACATTTTATGTTAAAGATTATGATAAAGAATACCCACATTCTCCACCTAGATCCAAGTTGATGAAAACGTTGCACATTTGCTGAAGCAATTGACAGTAAGTTACAGGTCCTTGATAATTCATGCTTGCGAATAAAGACCATTTTCCTAGTTAATATTTGTGCCACACCCAAGAAAATTTTGAATTTCACTTAAAATGCAGCCCATTTATTTCCCTAAACACCTGCAAATTATCTTGAGGATTTCTCTTTTAAAAAAGATCCATTGGAAATTCCTATGTTGCTTTGCGTCGTTACCGTACATTTCAAAATGTCCTGAAGCTCTCGGTGCAAGACTTTTGTACACCGTGCATATAAGAAGGGAAAGGGTAAATAAATGACGTCAGAGTAGCTACAATGAAGGGCGGGGTTTAGGATTCATTCACCAACCTGAAAGCAACTCTTAATCCGGGCACCCGTCACGGAGTTGGGCCAATCCGGGGAGAGCGCGGGAATTTTTGAATATTCTTGGGCCCAATGGGTGACGGTCTGGCTGTATAAAAGCAGGAGGGCTGTTTGCCTTCCACCGGCTTCGGGGAAGACACTCTCAGCTCCCTCTCGAGATGGCTCGCACGAAGCAGACGGCGCGCAAGTCGACGGGCGGCAAGGCCCCGCGCAAGCAGCTGGCCACCAAGGCGGCCCGCAAGAGCGCGCCGGCCACCGGCGGCGTCAAGAAGCCGCACCGCTACCGGCCCGGCACGGTGGCCCTGCGCGAGATCCGGCGCTACCAGAAGTCCACCGAGCTGCTGATCCGCAAGCTGCCGTTCCAGCGGCTGGTGCGCGAGATCGCGCAGGACTTCAAGACCGACCTGCGCTTCCAGAGCTCGGCCGTCATGGCCCTGCAGGAGGCGTGCGAGGCCTACCTGGTGGGGCTCTTCGAGGACACCAACCTGTGCGCCATCCACGCCAAGCGCGTCACCATCATGCCCAAGGACATCCAGCTGGCGCGCCGCATCCGCGGGGAGCGGGCGTAGATGGGATTTCCTGGTTCCGTGCCAACTTTAAATCCAAAGGCTCTTTTCAGAGCCACCCAATTAGCTCCAACAAAAGTGGCTGTGATCCTTTGGGTACTCTTGGACTGTGATCCTGACCATGCTAAATTGGGAATCCGTGCTAACCCTGGTCATTGGCATATTTTACGACGGAATGATCAGGTTCAACAATGGAATAGTAGGCTTACCAATGAATTTACCCAGATGAGCAAGAGTAGCTTGACAGTAACTAGCCATTTTATTTTTTAAGATTTTATTTATTTGAGAGAGAGAGCACATGAGAGGGGGGAGGGTCAGAGGGAGAAGCAGGCTCCCTGCCGAGCAGGGAGCCCGATGCGGGACTCGATCCAGGGACTCCAGGATCATGACCTGAGCCGAAGGCAGTCGCCCAACCAACTGAGCCACCCAGGCGCCCTAACTAGCCATTTTAAAAGGTAGCAGGGAACATGGGCTGTTTATTTTGTTTTGGATCCTGTTATGATCTTCACATTTCAAGCAATTGCCCATAATTTTCACCTCTGAGAACACAACCTAAGTTATTCATTGGTGACTCGGAATCATGAAATGAGTATAAATATTCCCGGTTTCTTAGTAGTTTAAGAAGTTTCCTCACTCCAATATAGTTTTCTTATAACATTTCATCTTTTTAAATTTTTTTAAGATAACCTGAAGTTTCAGCTGAAATAAGAATCCAACTGCTTGCACATTTCTTTATAGCTAGCTACCCATTCTTAATAATTGTTAATCAGTTGATCAGGCATAATTAGTCAAGTCCCTTTATTGCTTAATATGTTATTTCTTATTTGTGGCCCTGCTTGTGATTGGTTGCATGGCTTTATTTCTTCTAGGGCTAGGCAATAATTTTTTCACGATTCTTGGCTGTAGTTTCTATTCAAGTTTAGAAGTCATAATTATTTTTCTTTTGTGGATCTTGCTCTCTGGAGTTGCTGATTCAGTACTGGAAGGAAGATGATCCACATAAAAATAGTGGCTGATTCTGGAAGAAAAATAACATTTGCTTTAAAATTTAATTTCCATATTTCACCCAATATTTTTTCAGAAAACAATTATTTTAAAAATTATATAGCATTTACACTGTATTTACAAACTGCCTTTAACAGAACAATACAGTATGCTGTAGAACATGACAGCAGCAAATTCCAAAGGCTTTGTGTGTTCTGTTTTCCACACCTGAGGTCTTAATATCTAAAATTTTGGGCCTCCGTCTGAGATGTGAGTTGATGTACCGTATTGAATCATGCGGACAACTCAACAAGAAACATAAAACACAGAAGGTTAAACTTGAATTGTGTGGTTTACTTGGATTTATTTACATTCCAGGATTTTAATAAAGCAACTTTTGCTTTACAACATATTTGCATTCTTAAAAATGATAAGGTTGGACATTTCTGTGGATGTGTGTATGTCACTGGGTTGTACTTTTAACATTTCATTTTTCCAGATTCTCATACGTACCACTCTGGCCCAGACCTTTGCTACCCATATAAAGGGTCTGTCAGAGGCACCCAATGCCCTTGGCTTGAACCAGGGTGACTGCTCTCCAGCTCGATCCCAGCTGAAGTCCAAGTATCTTGGTTTTTCTTATAGCTGCACTGGCTCTTACGTTCAGTGTTTGGCTTTTCCCCCGAATATTTTATGTAGCTGTTAGAAAAAGGGTGTCTTAGGTACAGGGCCTGAGAGGATAGCTTTAACAAAAGCAAAAGTACCCACTGCTGTCTGAGGGTTAAATGGCCAGGGGACAGTGGCTCAGACTGTGCTCCTGCCCCACCAGCTGCCCACCCTTTCCCAGCCAAGGATCAAGGATTTGGCTTTAAGTCTTCATTTACTTGAGTTCCTCAGCAGAAAAATTGCCCAGTGTCTAGGAAAGTAAGGTTCGAACCACCTTAGAATTCATAACCTTGTTAATCTTTCTCCAGGAGCCTCTGGAAGCAGGCAGGACAGAACAGCATTTGGATAATAGATGGCCATGCTCCAGTTCAGTTTTACTACTTATTGTGACCTTTTACACAAACTGATTTCTCCATCATCAGAAAAATGGGGGTGATACTACCCACCTCAGAACTGTTATTGGGATACTATGAGTTGATTTTTGGACACAGAGCATTGTATAAATGCTGTGAATTATCCTGAGCTATGTATTATTTTCCCTTATATTCTAAGATTTTTTTAAAATTGAAATAAAAATGCAAACTTTAACTTCTAAACTTCCTTTTCATTTGGCATTACTTTGTTGCTCAGTTTGGAAATGAAACTTCAGCAGGTATTTGAAAACCAAAGAATGGAAGAAATTCGCATTTGTAAAAGAAAATTTACTGAACATATTGGACCACAGGTTGTGCCAGCATTTTAATATCAAAGCATTAAGCCTTTATTACTTTATATTAGTGGCGTGACTAGGGTCATGCTGGAGAAAAAAAGGGGGTGTTTCACGTACAGATTGTATCTTTTAAACGGTTGTTGCAAGGTCCTCGGTCACACAGAGTTTTTCTCTCCCAGGCACTATGAAGTGATATTACCACACAGGCTAAAGTTTACAGCTAATGCTGTTGGTGTCTAGAACCACACTTTTGGTTTGTTATAGACTTTCAGAAAAGAGGAGGAAGCCAAGGTCAGGGTGCATTTTTCAGACTAAAAAATTTAGTAGTAGCCCTTCCAGTCATCCCAGAAGTGACTTACTAATCAATGAGTGTTTTAGGGAGACTTAACCCAACAGTGGGAAGTCAGTTTAGAGATCTGAACTGCATTCCAGCCTTGGCTGCAGGACATAGTCAGTGCACCCTGGGAGAGGGCACAAAGGAATATTTTTCAGACAACCAGATTTAACATGTCACGTATGAACAGAGTCTGTCAATCAATAGATGAATGGCTAAAGAATATATGCTATATAGAGTTGACCCTTGAACAATGAAGGTTTGAACTGCATGAGCCCATTTATTTATTTTTTCCAATAAATATGATATGCTACTGTAAATGTTTTTCTCTTCCTTATGATTTTCTTGATAATATTTTCTTTTCTCTAGTTTGCTTTATAATAAGAATACAGCATATAATACATATGACATACAAAATATGTGTTAATAGACTTTATGTCATCAGTAAGGCTTCTAATTAACAGTACGGTATTGGTAGTTTTGAGGGGGGGATTCAAAAGTTATATGTGGATTTTCAACTGTGTAGCAGCCAGTACCCCAACCCCTGAGTTTTTCAAGGGTCAACTGTATATACAATGGAATATTAGCATAAAGAAAGGATGAAATCTTATTATTCATATGGATGGACTTAGAGGGTATATGCTAAATGAACTAAGTTAGAGAAAGTCAAACACCATATGATTTCACTGAATATGTGCAATCTAAAAAAACAAAAGAGAGACAAATACAGAGAACAACTTAGTAGTTGTGGGGGCGGGGGTAAGAAACCAAATAGGTGAAGGAGATTAAGAGATACAAACTTCCAGTTATACAATAAATAATTCACAGGGATGCAAAGTACAGCATAGGGAATATAATCATATTATAATGACTTTGTATGGTAACAGATGGTAGGTAACACATCATGATGAGCATTTCATAATGTGTAGAACTGTCAATTCACTATGCTGTACACCTAAAACTAGGATAATATTATATGTCAGCTATACTTCAATTGAAGACAAACCCAAAAAACCAGAAATCATCAATGTCTTGTATTTTATTAAATGTGATTTAAAACAAACAACAACAACAACAACTTTCACTATTATATATGTATCTGTGTTGTCTATATTGTATTCAGAGTAAAAGCTTGAAAATGAGAGTTCAGGGTAATCTCCCAACTCCAGACAGATTCTTTAAGTAATAATACCAGCTAAAATCCAGGCACACTTATGTAGGACTTCTTTGTACCAATCTCTGTTCTAGGCCTTTGCTTACATTAGTTAATTTAAATCTTCACAAAAGCTACATGAGCAGTATCATCACTCCACCTTTACAGATGAAGAAAACTAAGGCAGGGTTACAAGGTCACACAGCTGTAAAAGAGGGAAAATAACTTTCCCCTACCCTTCTGAGTTCTTAGCTGAGAACCCTGTAATAAAAGATTAATTAGAAAAACAAACAGCAGTTTAATAACATGTATACGTCCTGTATACATGAGAAATACTCTGAAGAAGTGAGTAAAACTCCCTGGAAAGGCCCAAGCCAGCGCCTTAAATACCGTCTTCCGCTAAAAGATGTTGATGTGGGAGGAGAGCGCACAGGGAGCCGGGTATGGGTTACCAGGAAAAGGTAAACAAGGCTGTGATGCAGAATTAAGTTCGGGCCTTCTCCATGGACAAAACTGATTTAATCATCATTTAATCATCCTTCTCTTTCTGGTACTGAGAGGGAGACACAGATGGAGATCTCCTTTATAAATGTAACATGTCCCTTAAGAGAGTTCTACTCTGATTTTAGAGATTTTTCCTGCGTTTGGCGTTTCTTAAAAATAATCTGCTCAAAAAGCAGTCTTTATGCCAAAGAGGCATATTTTGGGGTGGCATATTCTGCTATCCTTCATACCAAAGTGGCCCATTTTGAGACGGTTTGTCCTGGACTCCTACACTCCTCTTTTGGGGTGGCATCTTAGGGTTCCCTTCCCAGCTAACAATCATCCCCTTCTGAATGAGAAACGACTGTACCCCGTTGTAAACTAGAAGCCCCTACTCACTCTCTCATAGGAAGAGAGCCGCAGATACAAATAGCAACGGGCTCAGGGAAATGCAGAGCTTCCACGGGAAGCTGCCCTGCCCCCTGCCCCACAGTCATTGGAGCTCCGCCCAGAGGGGGCGGAGCCCGGGGTGGGGCAGCGGGGCCGCGGGTCCCGCCCGCGCTTCCAGTTCTCAACGAGGTCCGGCCTCTGCCTATAATTAGTCCTGCCGGACGAGCAGGGCTATAGCTGTGTTCGACTCGTACAGAGCCTCCAGCAGTCATGTCTGGCCGCGGTAAGGGCGGGAAGGGCCTGGGCAAGGGCGGCGCCAAGCGCCACCGCAAGGTGCTGCGCGACAACATCCAGGGCATCACCAAGCCCGCCATCCGGCGGCTGGCCCGGCGCGGCGGCGTCAAGCGCATCTCCGGCCTCATCTACGAGGAGACCCGCGGGGTGCTCAAGGTGTTCCTGGAGAACGTGATCCGGGACGCCGTCACCTACACGGAGCACGCCAAGCGCAAGACGGTCACGGCCATGGACGTGGTCTACGCGCTCAAGCGCCAGGGCCGCACCCTCTACGGCTTCGGGGGCTGAAAGCCTCGTCTTCGTTTGCTTTCCAAAGTTCTCCAAAGGCCCTTTTCAGGGCCGCCCACCCTTTCTTTAAAAGGGCTGTACGCGTCTTGTACCTGGGTTTTGTTGGGTTGGTGGAGCTTTTACGTTGTTACTGACTTGCGCTTTTGTAAACGTAAGCCTGACAGCTCCGCGACCGCCGGATGCTCGCTCAGCCAATGAGCGGGCTGCACAGCGCGCGGCGCGGGTTTCGCGCCAATCAGCAGTAGGGGCTTTCTGAGGAGGCCAATGGGGGGGAGGCGCCGGGCCTCCCGCGGAAGGGGCGGGGCTGATCCCCGCCGCTCTTCCCGTAAGGGCCCTGCCTGCCGCTTCCCACCTGTGGAGGGAGTAAGTACTAGCCATGCTGGCGTTGCCGCCCAGCTCGTTCGCCTAGGAGGGTTCGGGTCGGTAAATAACTCGTATATTTGCGAGGGGCCGCTGCCCGCCTCACAGGAAGCCAGGTGGGCTAAACTGTACTGCGGGGAGAGACGCTGAACGTCCAGTCCCGGGTGTGCTCTCGGCGTCAGCAGAGGGCAGTCCCCGCCGCCGCCGGAGCCGGAGCCCTGGAGTTGGGGCCTGGGAGGCTGCAGCCGGGGGTCTCGGGTTTCGAGGTGCCTCGGCATTTCCATTGTCGGGCTCGGGCTCCCGGCCGCCCCTAAGGCCCTGGCCGAGCAGGGTTCGGAAACTTCCCATTTAGTAGACGGAGGGGGTCTGTTCGGATTCAGGCCTCGGGTTGCTCGGAACCCTACGGCCTCTGGCAGGGCCCAACCTTGACGACTTGAGGGAGGAGCGCCGTCCTTGGAGACCGCTGGCTCTCTGGCGACCGTCTTGCACCCTCCGCCTTCGTTCCTCCGCCCAGCTCCTCTCCCTCTTTCTTCTGCGTCCTGCAAATTGTAAGGTTTGGGGTTTTTGAGTGAAGCTTTCACACATGGTCACAAAGTGTTTTGAGGGGCGCCTGGGTGGCTCAGTGGGTTAAGTGTCTGCCTTCGGCTCCCGTCGGGCTCTCTGCTCAGCTGGAGCCTGCTTCTCCCTCTGCCTGCAGCTCCCTCTGCTCTCTGTCAGACAAAATTAAAAAAACAAAAAAACAAGAAGTGTTTTGAAGTATGTCCTCAAGTTACTAAATCAGACAACTGAATAGCATCTTTGATTTAATGCTTGAATATATTGACGGCTGCTTAAGAGAGCAAGTGACTCTGCTAACGTCTCTCTGACACAAGAAGATGCTGAATAGGCAGTTGGAAAAGGTTCTCGAGTTCAGGTGAGAGGTCTGGTTTGGTCTAGAGGAAAATTTGCGAATCACCAACCTATAAATGGTGAGTCTGGATCAGATCAGTAAGAATTTAAACACCACTTATTGCAATTCATTGTAATAATAAATAGAAATGTAAATAATGTAGAATAATTATATACTATAATATATATTATACATAATATATAATATAGCATATATTATAATATATAATATAAAAATAATAAGTAGAAATGTAAATCGTAGGAATGTAAATTGTCACTAGAAGGGAACTGGATATTATCCATATCCATGAAATCGTGTCTTACTTCAGGCTGCTATAATGAAAATGCCATAGACTGTGGCTTAAACAACAAACTGATTTCTCAGGGTTGGGAGTCCAAGATCAAGGTACTGGCAGATTCAGACAGGACAGTTTCAGACAGGATTTGGTGGCCGGTGAGACCCCAGTGTGTGGTTCATAGACTTGCCTTGCTGTGTCCTCACATGGCAGAGGGAAGGGCCGGAGAGCTTTCTGAAGTCTCTTATGTCTAAAGGGCATTAATTCCATTCATGAGTGCTCCATCCTCATGCCCTAATCACTACCCAAGGGCCCAACCTCCTAATACCATCATATAGGGTATTAAAATGTCAATATATGAATTTGTGAGGGATACAAACAGTCCATAACAAATGGAATGCTGTACAGCCCTATTAAAGAATAGAGAAACTCTATTCCAGGATGTGCCCTAGAGTACCTATGGCTCACTTCTTGGGCCGCTTCTCTGTTCTTGGTCTCACTATTGATATGTTCTGTGTTCTGTGGAATGGTTTATGCTCAACAGGAAAATGCCATGGCCTAGCCCTAAGTGTCAGGTCAGGTTGTAGTGACAATGCCTACGACTGTGTCAACTTCTCTAGGTTTCTCAATCCCAATGGCTGTTTTTAGGAGGGAGTTTTTAATCACCCCTATACTTCCATCAGTTTCCTTGCACCCACCTCAAGCTTCATAATGAAGCTTGCCACATATCCAACTGCATTTTTGACATATCTACTCGAGTATCTAATGGACATCTCAAACTTGACTTGTCCAAATTAGATATCTTAACACATAAACACACCAAATCTGTTCTTCCTCCAGTATTCCCCACCTCAATAAATGGAGGCTTCCAGGGGCTCAGCTCAGAAACCTTGCAGTCCTGTTTGAGCTCTTTCTCTTACAACTTTCATCCAACCCAGTCAGCTCTATGTTACAAATCAATCAGAGCACCTTTCACTACATTCTGTGCTACTTACTCCTGGACAAGCCACAATCACCTTTTGTCCAGATGACCATAATGGCTCCTAACTAGTCTTTGTTTTTGCTTTTGATAGCTTGTTTTTTTTTCTCAACCCAGCAACAAGAGTGATTATTTCAAAAGATGTCATGTCCACCCTCAGAACATTCCAGTGGTTTTCCACCTTCATAATAAAAGCCAGTGTCTTTATCCCAGCCTACAAGGAGCGTAGCCAAAAATTCCAGTTTGCCTGAGTTTGAGGGGTCTCTGGGGATGTGGGACTTTCAGTGCTAAAACTTGGAGAAAGTCTCAAGCAAACAGGATGAGTTTGTCACCCTACCTAGATGGCTTTACATGCTCTGGGCCCTGGCCACCCTCTGATCTCATTTGCTGTCACATTTCTTTGTCTTCACTGACCTTTTTTCTGTTTGTGGAACAGACCAAACATGTTCCAGTCTCAGAGCCCTTGTGCTTATTTTTCTGTCTTCCTAGAAGTATCTTATCCTGGTATAGGGGAGGATTTTACTTCTGCCCTCTTAGGGTTTTTTGGCAGGCCTAAGAATTAAATTGACATAAAACAGGTTAACAGGAGAAAAGCATACAATTCGTTTTACATTTATGTAAATACATATATATTTATATAGAGAGACATTGGGGTACACCAATGTGTTTTCCAGGACAAAGTTACCCTCATAAGGAAATGAAGACCCAAAGAAGCAGTTAGAGTTGAACACTTATATACTGAGTTGGACAAAGAGTAGTAAGCTGAAAACACAAAAAGGCAAGGGCGCTGGGGCTTGGGTAGTGAATTGTGGAAGATAAGGGTTAGTGTACAAGGTTTGTTTGTACAGATTTCTCCTGGCCTCAACTCCTCACCCAAGGTGAGGAAAATGTTACTTTCCTTGTCATGTAAGGATGACCTCTTCTATATGGGGAATTTCTCACCTGTTTTCAGGAATAAAAAGGAGAGGTCACTGTGCCTTCCAGCACCTGTTGTTTTTTCAAGGTGCCTTTAATCTTTATGTCAGAGGCGGTTTTTGTGTGGCATATTCTACTACCTGTCCCTGGATGGCTGCAGGCTTCATTTCATTCAAGCCTTTGCCCAAACGCCGTCTTATGAAAGAGAACTTTCCTGACCACCCTATGTAAAATAATACCACTTTCTACTCATTCTTTAAAATAATATATGCATCCCCACGTGTATCAATATATATCTGATTGTTGTTCTGTCTCCCCCAACTGCAGTACAATTCTTTGAGAGCAGGGACTTTATTCTGTCCCTGAAGTGTCCCTAGCACCTAGAACAGGGCTGACAGCTAATAGGTAGTCTATGAAGGTTTGTTGTGTGGGGAGAGGAAAAGTATTTTTCCTTCTACCTTTCTAAATTCTTGACTGAGACCTCCCTGTAATAAAAAGATAGATTAACCGGAGAAAATCCAATTTAATTATATACATAAGTACAGGAGCCCCACAAAGATATAAGGTTCAAGGAAGTGAACAGAGCAGGAAGCTTTTATATCTGTTAGACAAAGAAAGAATACCTTTCTAAAGACGTGAAAAGACAAAGCGCTTTGGGCTAGAAGTAGTAAATGGTAAAGAAGTGACAAGGTTTATTCATAAGGCCTTCTCAGCCCTGAGTTTCTCATCTCTGGTGGTAAGGATGTCTTTCTTCCTCCTAGTATAGGAGAGTACATTTCACATAAAAGATTTATCTTCTGCTTTCAGGGAAAAAGAAAGAAGTGGGGGGTGACGTGGGGTGGAGGGGATGTCAGGGTGATTTTCCTGCTTCTGAAGCTTAAACTCCTTGAGTTTAACATATTTAATATACCAAGGTGGCATAGTAGGAGATAGCATGTCCCGAACCCCATCAGTTGAATGAATGCACACATGAATTTTCTACACGAGACCCTAGGCCCACCGGAGTGCTGCCACAGTAGAGTTGATTCTCTACTATTCCCTGACTTACCACTGCCTGAATCAATCAGTGTGGCAGTTTGTCCTCTAGATCTGAGGAATGATGCCGAATGGCAAATCAGGCAGCATGATCTTTGTTCCGAACAAGGCCTTCGTGAGTGTTAGGACTGAGGCAGGCTCAGAGGCTTTCCCCCAGGGCAGTGAGCACGACTAAAATGGGTATAGTACTATCTACAAGGCTATGAATAAAGAAGCCAGACCAACCATCACAGAAGCTAGTCACGTCTACTGTTGTAGCAACTACTCCTCTCCTCCCATATAGAAAATCTGTATTCACACACCTCTCTACATATACTCTGCATCCAGGACAGGGAATTCTGTCTGATTTGCTCACAGATGTACCCCAATGCCTACAAGAGTATCTGGCACATTACCTGAGGTCAGTAAATATCTCTTGAAGGAACACCAGCTAAGGAGAACATAAAATGACCACTCTCCCAGCCAGGCCCATTTTGCTCCTCTGGCCGTCCAGGATGCAGCTCTGAATTCTCCCCAATGTTAATTTAAATTAAGCCATGCTAGGTACTTTTATCATTCCCCAGAAATCTTGGAGGACGGTTATCAGGTGGAAAAGCGGACCAAAAAAGCTAGGAAGACACCGGCTGAAGCTGACATACTGAGCTTGCAACAGCTTGGGGGCTCTGTCGCACTCGCTCTATTTAATTGAGATAGAGTTTATACATCATAAAATTCACCCAAAATTAGCCGCCCTAATTTCCATTTCTCTGTGAAGGAAGGAAAACATGGCGAACTCGTACGGGCTCTGCTGACAATGAAAGAGGCACCTTCCCCCCATAAACCAGATGTTACTCTCCCCTGAATCCAGTGCCCTGGGTTTTCCGGCAGCCTGAATCTGGTTTCTCCCCTGCCCATTTCCAGAGACTATTTTTTGGAGACAAATCATTCTGTTAGTGGTGAAACCTCAGTACTGTTCTTGGGACCTGATTGAAGGACACTTGCAGGTCTGAGTCTATTTCAGAATCCGCAAAATGATAAATCTTAAAAATTCCTAACCCAGGGCTTTGGGGTTTCTGGCCAGCCTTCCCATCCCCCAGTCTGGCTCGCCTGGCGGCTTGGGGGGGTGGGGGGGGAAGGCACATGAGATCATCAGTTCTGATTGGTTGACAACCACGGATGGGACTTTCTGATTGGACAATATTCCTCTTTGTTCCTGGAAATCATTGCAAGTTCCCCACTCTATTTGGTCCTTCCCCACTTTTGAATTGGAGTATCATTCCTCCCTTACTCGTATGCAGCGAATGGGGACAGAGGAGCGGGCTAAATACTGTTCAGCTAAGGGAGTTCCTTTGGTGTATACGGATTTCGTACGGAGTTTTACTTCCAAAAATCCTGCAATCTTACGGGATTCAGTCATTAGATTTCTAGATTAGAAAGTTTAACTACAGCGGAGGGTCTTTCAAGACAGCCCTTTTTTTGAACGGTTGGGTGGCCCTGAAAAGGGCCTTTGGTTATGAAATGCAATTTTCTGGTGACGAAATCAGAGCTTAGCCCCCGAAGCCGTAGAGGGTGCGGCCCTGGCGCTTGAGCGCGTAGACCACGTCCATGGCCGTGACCGTCTTGCGCTTGGCGTGCTCCGTGTAGGTGACGGCGTCCCGGATCACGTTCTCCAGGAACACCTTGAGCACCCCGCGGGTCTCCTCGTAGATGAGGCCGGAGATGCGCTTGACGCCGCCGCGCCGGGCCAGCCGCCGGATGGCGGGCTTGGTGATGCCCTGGATGTTGTCGCGCAGCACCTTGCGGTGGCGCTTGGCGCCGCCCTTGCCCAGGCCCTTCCCGCCCTTGCCGCGGCCAGACATGGTTTCCTAAAAAGCAAAACAGCCAGTGACAAAAGCAAGTGAGAGCTGGTCCTTATATAACGACGTCCCTTCCAACCCCACCCCCTGCAGATGTAGAGAATGGAAAGAGCGCAGGCGGGAGATATGACGCCAGCAGTCCCCTCCCTTAATCCCGCCTCCAAGCCCCGGGAACTCAGGGCGGGCGTGGGTCAGAACCCAGCTTGACCATTGGTCTTTACTCCCTTAACTGGACTACGTTGTTCTAACGAACTGGGCTTATAGTAAGCTCATGTATGATTCCAAAAATATCCTAAATAGAATACTTAAGGCAAAAGGCTTGTTTCGCAATAATTTCAGTAATGACAAAAATATCAAGATCAAAGAAATGTAAGTTGAGCAGTTTATAATGATAAACCAGGTTTCTTTTAGATGTTTTACTTTTAATACATGTTTGATGAAACTATACTATTCCTGTTCGTTTTACAACCGATGCTCAAGAAGCCCTATTTAATGCCCTTCAAATGCCAACGGCTTCGTGCCCCTCTTGAAACCCTCACTGACTCTTCCTTAGGACCTAAGTTAACAGTACTTCCTAACTTTTTAAAGGACCAATTTTGTTCGCATGTACAGGGAACATTTAGACAAAAGGAAGCATCTGTAACCCATTAAAGTGTTGCTAATCCACATCCTTTCGTATCTAAGTGCATAGCTAGTCATATTAAACTGTCGAGTTGATGGGTTTTTTACAGCCACTTTACTTGAAAACGTGGGTGGCTCTGAAAAGAGCCTTTGGTTGAAGTTTCAAAGAAAAAAAAACGGTAGTGTATTACGCCCTCTCCCCGCGGATGCGGCGCGCCAGCTGGATGTCCTTGGGCATGATGGTGACGCGCTTGGCGTGGATGGCGCACAGGTTGGTGTCCTCGAAGAGCCCCACCAGGTAGGCCTCGCACGCCTCCTGCAGGGCCATGACGGCCGAGCTCTGGAAGCGCAGGTCGGTCTTGAAGTCCTGCGCGATCTCGCGCACCAGCCGCTGGAACGGCAGCTTGCGGATCAGCAGCTCGGTGGACTTCTGGTAGCGCCGGATCTCGCGCAGGGCCACCGTGCCGGGCCGGTAGCGGTGCGGCTTCTTGACGCCGCCGGTGGCCGGCGCGCTCTTGCGGGCCGCCTTGGTGGCCAGCTGCTTGCGCGGGGCCTTGCCGCCCGTCGACTTGCGGGCCGTCTGCTTCGTACGAGCCATGACACCTACATAAACGTACCAAACACTAGCACAAGTACGTTACTCGGAAGACTGCCTAGTATTTATAGTACGTAAGGTGAAGTGATTGGATGAGAAAAATGCTGACATATAAGGTTACAGGCTCTGATTGGTCCATCTTTTAGCTTTCCAACAACGGCGCAGTTTCATTGGCTACCACCTTATCCTCGTCTCTTCGGGTTTTTTTCTTGCACAACTAGCTCACTGTGACTTACACAATGATTTTCGTAGTGTGAATGCAGTGCTTTGAACGTCACCTTTTCAAAAAACTAAACATTGACTTCGTTGGTGTTGTAGTTCAAAACTATTATTTCTTTAGTTCTTGGGGAGAAATTTGAGAAATATTGCCCCCAATAATGTAGTCTTCACACTCCCTGCTCAATAACCCCAATAACCCCATATCGTATTACAAGTTTCTAAAACTTTTCAAAAATAAGATCCCTTTATAATGCTAAAATGAAGGAACTCCTTTGCATCCTACAAGACAATGTCAACCTTAGTAAAATTACACTGGCGCCTACAGAAGTATTTCCAGTGATCGGACACCTATTTGTTAAATGGTAATGCTGACTTCTAAAATCGGAGGTTTCTGGAACTTATTTTTTCTCATGCCTAGAGTATATTTTGCCAGGTGTAAAATATCAGTGACTAAATTCTCCAGCACCAACCTCTCTGAGCCTTGTGGAGCAGCCGTGTCCTGGGTCCAATCAACTGGATTCCGAGCCACGAGAAGGGCAAACTTCTCATTGCCAAGACCTAACCTTAAAGTTCTTAAAATTTTTCAAACTTAGAAACATCAAATGTGACCGTTTTGTACTAAGAGTAGGTAGGCCAGATTCTACCTTTTCATTGGTTGAGTACTTTTGTACTGACCGGCCAGTAAGAAACCCAGCATCCTTCATTTGGGTAGAACGTTCCTATTTTATTTGAAGCCTATTTAATCCAATGGATACACAGGAGGCCGGAACTTTAAGAAATTCCGGACTCCAGTGTTCCCTTTTAAAAAGCTACGTTTAATTGGAGTCCTCGTTTATTACACTAGGAAAAGCTTGACTTCCAGAAGATGTTCACTTAAAAAGCTTCCAGATTTGCAGGAAGGTCGTATACCTATTACCATTGACTCTTCCTTCAAACGCCCAGCTCCGATTATTCTCTTCCAAACTGGGAGAAACTACGGGCTGCGTCTGAAAACGCAGACTCTCGGGAGAGCGGGAGGTCGTTGGGGGTGGCGGAGCTGATGGCGGGAACATCCCATCACCGGCCGCCGGCCTGCCGGTAACAAGCCCCTCGGATGTTTGAGGGAAAGCGGGAAGCTCGGGTTACTTAGGCCGCGCGGACTTGTTTGAGAACTTGAGGAGCGCAGGGCGGGAAGGGGACGTCTCTGCCTCCTTCCGGCCGCCGGGCGACTGCCCGAGCCTGTGACAGGGCGCAGCCCTGGGAGAGGCATTTTGTTCTCTCGTCGTCTGATTCGCGCTGTGAAATCACTTGAGCCTTGTCCCTGCCTTTACATGCGCCTCACAGCCACAAAGAGGTCCGAGGAGGCTCGCCCCGAGCGCTTATCCCGAGCCGCGCCCCCTCGCTCTCACCCCGAGGCGCTCTCGCCCCCTCACGGCGCCGGCGAGCGGAGCGTGCCGTCCGGCCAGCGCCTCTTCAACGCCCCTGGTGCGCGGGGCTGGGAGCTGTTGCTGAGCGAGGGCGCGCTGCCGGGGAACAGCAGCCCCGGTCCGTCGGCCCCGCCCGCGGCGTGTGGGGAGGCCGAAGAGGCACCGGGGGCGCGTCGAGGGCACCGGACTGCAGGCGCCACTTGGCGTTCACTCACGGGGAGGTTGTGTATCGTTTCCCACACGTGCCGCTGGCGTGTTAGCCGCGGTGGCAGCGAGTTGCGGTGTTTGCCACGCCACTCCTTTGACCAAAATTCATGAGAGGTCTTGACCAGGCGTGTCCCGCTTCGGCGTCGCCGGGGCAATGGCGCTGAGGACTGGTCCCAGACTCCTGCACACCGCCCTCCCCCCCACACCCCGCTTTCCTCTCTCCCTCCCGGGCCATTCAGGACGCGCGACCTTTTACACTCAGTGCGGATTAGGAACGGGCGCCCCTGACGACGCCTCCCTGGGTTCTTATTCGGCTGCCTCGTTTACAAACTGCTCTTCCTCCGCCCCCCGGAATCAAAAGGCTTGTTCCATAAAGGGAAGCGGCACCGTCTGGCGTTAATGGGCTGCGGAGCCCAGAAGTGCGGGCTGCGCGAGGCGACAGGGCTGCCGCCGCACAGTCCCCTCGGGGACGCGCCGAGGGCCGCAGCGCAGGGGGCGCTAGGGGGCGAGAGGCGGGCGCCGGCGAGCACCAATCACAGCGCGGCCCCGCCCTATAAATAGGCCGCGCCCGGGCCGCCGGCGTCTTCCTGCTCAGTCAGGTCCTCGCAGCTCGCTCGGTCCGCTCCGCTCTCACCATGTCTGAGACCGCGCCGCCCGCGCCGGCCACCTCCACTCCCCCCGAGAAGCCCGCGGCCGGCAAGAAAGCCAAGAGGCCGGCCAAGGCCGCGGCTGCCGCCAAAAAGAAGCCCACGGGCCCCTCCGTGTCGGAGCTGATCGTGCAGGCGGTGTCCTCCTCCAAGGAGCGCAGCGGCGTGTCCCTGGCCGCGCTCAAGAAGGCGCTCGCGGCCGCCGGCTACGACGTGGAGAAGAACAACAGCCGCATCAAGCTGGGCCTCAAGAGCCTGGTGAGCAAGGGCACCCTGGTGCAGACCAAGGGCACCGGCGCCTCGGGCTCCTTCAAGCTCAACAAGAAGGCGGCCTCCGGGGAAGCCAAGGCCAACCCCACGAAGGTGGCGAAGGCCAAGGTGACGGGCGTTTCCAAGAAACCTAAAAAGGTCACGGCAGCTGTTAAAAAAGCTGTTAAGACTCCGAAAAAGGCCAAAAAGCCGGCGGTGGCCAAGAAGTCGTCCAAGAGCCCCAAGAAGCCCAAGGTTGTGAAGCCTAAAAAAGTAGCCAAGAGCCCTGCCAAAGCCAAGGCTGTGAAGCCCAAGGCGGCCAAGGCGAAGGTGACCAAGCCAAAGACGGCCGCCAAGCCCAAAAAGGCCGCACCCAAGAAGAAGTAAGCGTTGCAGTTGGAACTTATTCCAATAACCCAACGGCTCTTTTAAGAGCCACCAACATACTTCGGAGGAAAGAGCTTTAGTACGTGTCTCCTGGTTCCTACGCGGAGTTTGCCACGGTCTTGCCGGGCTCCCTGGCCGGGGCGGTGCTGAGCCAGTCCTTACCCCACCCCGCAGTTCCTTTAGGGGCTCCAGTTCCCACCGGCGGACCTGACCTTTCTAGGTGCCGCTTAGCGGCTCGGGAACCACTGGCCTAGCGAGCTTCGTCTTGCCTAGAGTTAACTGTATTGGCAAGACCTGGGGGACTTTGTCCCAAACCGGAAGTCCGCGCCCCGGGCTAATGAGTCCTTCCCGGTAACCAGGAGGGATGGGAGCCCCGCTCTGGCCCCAGCTGGGAGCGTGCGCCGCGCGCACACCTGGCTGTTCCATCTCCCCGTTGAGTTCAAAGCCGGGCCCTGCTCTTCTCGGGACAGTAGTGCTTAAAGCGGCCCTTTCCGGATGTGGGTTCCCCTGACAAGTGCTTGGGGGGTAGCCCGTGAAACCGAAAGCTTGGCCACACCCGCCGCGGATGCGGCGCGCCAGCTGGATGTCCTTGGGCATGATGGTGACGCGCTTGGCGTGGATGGCGCACCGGTTGGTGTCCTCGAAGAGCCCCACCAGGTAGGCCTCGCAGGCTGAGCTCTGGAAGCGCAGGTCGGGTTTGTAGGCGCGGCGCCTCCGCGTGGGTCGGCTTGGGGGCTGCGCGCAAGTTTCTGGCGGTGGTCCCGACAAGGAAGCTTGGCTGCATCGGAGTTTTGGAGCCGAAGCTCACAGCCCTTACCGGGCTCCTGTGTTTATAGGAAACAAAGCGGCCCTGATTGGCTAATGTTTGAAAACCCACTCTGCCCCTAACTAGAGCGTATTTCTTTGCGTACAGGGTTTTCAATTCTGGTGGCGCTATACCATATTAAGTAGGGAAGGACACTTTCCGCAGAATAGTCCCTTTAGGCTTTTGAAATTTAATTCTAGGATACAGATTTTAATAACCTCTTTCACCTCCGAGGAGAAAACACCATATGGTGAGTCAGGGTTACTAAACAGCTCAGTTGGTTGTAAAGCCTCATTTTTACATGTGCCCCTACATACTCTTTTTTTCCCCCCATTTTTTAGGTGATCTTTTTTTCCCACTGTCTTGCTGGGCTCCCGCTTTCCGGTAACATCTGCCATACAGGCACTTCACATCTCTGTTCCCCGGCCCTTAGGCTGGCGTGTAGCTAGCTATTCATGATGGCTTTGAACTCGGTCTCTTAGGAGCACCTATCCTACACACGCATGATTGCTCCTTCTGGTTTTCGGTTAGGGCTATTTACAAAACGGTGACTTTACACAAACTGCTTCTTAAAACCTTTCCGAAATCCTTTCAAGTCAAAACCTCTTTTTAATGTCCACGTGGAGTAACATAAGCTATTCATCCATTTCCTAGCGATAAGCATTGACGTTGTTTCCATTGACCACTGCCCACTGAGGCGCAACAGAGTTCCGGCACCGAACTTGCTAGATTAGAGAGAATTTTATATTTCAGTTGGTGCCGACGTATCCTGAAAATAACTCCCCCTCAAGGTGTGGGCTCAATTTTTGCCCGTCTACAGGATGTAAAATTACTTCTCATTGTCACTTTGATGTGCATTATCATGGTCACTAGTATATCCTTTCTTTAGGTTTATTGGTCATCTGAATACACTCTTCAGAGAATGCAGGCTTATCCCTTTGCTTCCTTTTTCATTGGGCAGTTTTTCTTGTCCCACTGTTTTTTTTTATATAGTAATGAACTACTTATCACCTCTGTTGCAGATAGTTTTCTAATTTTGGCATTTTTTACTAATTTTATTTATGGTGGATTTTCCATTTGAATGTTATAAAGATCTATATAAAATCCCAAATATTAAATGTTAGAAACATATCATTTAAAGCTTCTAGATTTCTTGGTTAAGAAACTGAACCCCACCCCTCCATTATTCATTCAATAGCCTAGGTTTTCTTCTAAAAATTGCTTCCTAAAAATTTTTTAGTCTCTAATCCATCTAAAATTTTATGCACTTTTAGAATCCGAGTTTACATTCTCCCAGATGGCCAGTTGTCCTAACGCAATTTATAATCCATCCATTTCTCCCACTGTATGTCCTGTTATTAAAGTCTTAATAAGATTTCTGTTCTTTTCTATTGATCTCTCCATATAAATCATGTTTGTTAATTTGTATGCTTGTGTCTACTGTGAATGGAGGACTCATTTCCTTTTTTAGGTCTTACTGCTAGGAAGGAGGAAATGTATTGATATGTTGTATCCAGTGACCTTACCAATTTCTGTAATTCCACTTCTTGGTACTTTTTAAAATAGAGCCCCTTGAGTCTTTCCTAGTCATCAGCAAAATAACATGTTGTTGTTGTTGTTTTGGTCTTCCTCAGTGTGAATACCAAGCATTTTATTTCTTTTGTACTGCATTTGCTGAGACTTTCCAAAGTAAAGTTAAATAATTTAGCAGGAATCCCTTTTTAGTTCTTGGTTTTAATTAAGCTATTGTTTGTCCTTTAGGACATTTGTTAATTTTTGGCATCTCCATTATTTTAAATGATACCTTCAAATTTTATTTTACTTTTAGAAAATCTTTCAGTAGCTTTTAGACTTTAATATATTGATATATGATTTTCTTTAAACGCAGTGTGGCTGAAAGAGTGAACTTTTAGAAAAAGATGTGTTTTTATAAGGCGGTCATCTAAGAGAGAAGCAGGTGTGCTGTGGTAGAGCTGGAGGAGGGGGGAGTCAGAAATTCTGAGTCCATGAGATCACCAACTGGATGAGGGGTATTAGCAACTGGGTTCAAATGCTGCTGATTGAGTGACTGAATTGAGTACAGGCCTGAGAATAGTCTCTTGGTTAAGTAGTATGAAGGTGACTGACAGCTTTGAGAATAGTTTGGGGAGGACGGAGTTGAATTAAGGTGGAACTATAAATTTGAGAATCATTGGTATATGGATGGCATGTAAAGCCATGAGCCTGGGTGAGGTCGCCAAGGGGATGACTGAGGTAGAGAAGAGTATAAAGGGGAAAGTACTGAGTCCTGAGGCATCGAACATCGAGGGCGGAGGAGACCTAGTCCTGACCATTCATCATCGATAAAGCTGAGTAACTATTCTACTTCTTTGTGCTTCCGTTTGCTAATTTAAAAGTTGCATTAGAGGGGCGCCTGGGTGGCTCAGATGGTTAAGCGTCTGCCTTCGGCTCAGGTCATGATCCCAGGGTCCTGGGATTGAGTCCCGCATCGGGCTCCCTGCTTGGGGGGGAGTCTGCTTCTCCCTCTGCCTCTGCTGCTTCCCCTGCTTGTGCTCTTTCTCTGTCAAATAAATCTTAAAAAAAAAAAAAAAAAAAAAAAGTTGCTTTAGAGCAGTGTTTTTCACGGCTTGTCGGTAATCGAAGAGATTTGAACATATTAGAGCGTGCCACACTGAGGTATCTATGGCTTCCTGGAACTTAGGTTGGGGGCACTTCCGTTGTTAGGCATATGTATGCATGTGCTGGGTCACGAAGAAGAATGCGTGTCTTAGCGGGGTCACCATCAAGTCTGAAAACCAGTGGTTAAGGTGCTCCCTTCTGGTCTTTCACAATCCCGAGTCTGCTGTTTTGATGTTCTGACCACAGAATCAGATCTAACATCCATATAAGACAGTAGAGAGACTTGAAATCCATCTCATTGTCCCAGAGATCTTCCAGAGACAAGTGGGTAACAGGTGACATACAAATTCTATTATTTACTAATTGATTTGATTGTCCTTGCCTGTGGGGATTTTGAAAGGCAAGAAAAGAGAGGCACAAAGCACAGGAGTTAAAGGATTTCCAGGACTGATGGAAGATCAGTGTGGGCCCTTTAAAGTACTGACGACAGATAATGAGCTTGGCTCTGTAAGTCCTACAACTGCACATATATGGGAAAAAGAGAGGAGGGGAAGCCTCACATCTTGATGCTGCAGGTTTTATTGTGTCCTATGTGCCCAAAGGAAAAGGGGGAACATTGGGGAGGAAAAGAACATTGTTCTTTTCTTTACACCATAACCTATTTTTCAGATCTTTGACAATGTGTACATGCAAATCTAAAGGGAAAAATTATTCTGCGTACAAAAATAGAACTGGGTTAAACTCGAAGTATTAACTACTAAATGGCTGTTCGGTAAAACGGTGGCCTAGAAACTACCCACAGGATTCAAGAGTGGGTGTGCGCCATTGTTTAGTTCACCAGTCACCTGCTGGATCTTAAAAATTTATTTAACAGAAACTACAGTCATTTTCAAGTGTGTCTCAGAATGGGTTTCCAGGAGTGGGATTTCTCTATCAAAGGGTAAAAAGCAACCTTGCGAGCTGCAGTTTACAGTAAAATAATCATCATGGAATCTTAAAAACAAATAAATACAAATGCCTAAAGACCGAAATGTGATTGGACCTAGAGTATCACGGGTCACCATCTATTTTATTTCATTTTATTTTATAATACATAGTTTGATACAAAAATCCAAATTACATGAAAAGATACACACTGAGAAGTCAAGTTCCACATCACTGACCTTGACCACTCAGGTCCCCTTCTGGTGTTTTCTTTATGCAAATAGAAACAAAACATATATATACTTTTCTTTCTTGCCCTGTCACAGGATAATGCGAACAAGTTCTCTACCGCTGTTCACTTAGCAGTCTGTCCTGGATGTTTGGCTGTAATGGGACCCAGAGCTCTCCATCTCTTTCCACAGGTACGTGATATACCATGTGTAAAGGAACAATGGTTTATTTTGGTTCCAGAAGCTCTGGGTCTGTATTGGAGAACTGAGCCCTTTGTACCAGGTGTTGTAAAATGTTTTTTCAGACAGTCATTTGTCTCTTAACTTTGATAAGTTAAAAAGGGTCTTTCCCACTTCAAGAATCAAAGGAATTCACCTGTATTTTTGTCTGGGTTTGTTTTTGTTTTTTGTTTTTTGTTTTTAACATGTCAGTCTTTGATCTATTTGGAGTTTATCCTAGTATATGGTGTTTTAAAAATGACTATCCCATTGTCTCAACACTTTACTCCCAATGATGAGAAGGGCTGTCTATGGGGCGCCTGTGGGGCTCAGTCGGTGGGGTGTCCAACTCTGGATTTCAGATCAGGTCTTCATCTCAGGGTCATGGGTTCGGGCCCCACCCTTGGGCTCTGCACTGGGCATGAAACCTATTTAAAAAAAAAAATGCTGTCTTTATGGCATACAAAATTCCTATGCTGTCGATTTCTGGACTTTCTATTGTATATCAGTCCATCTAGCCAAGCACTAGCACCATGCTGTTTTAATTGAGGATTGATGATCCTTTCCAAAATATGGTAAAGATCACCCACCCTTCCTGTTCTTATTTTCCAATTTTAGGGCAATCATAAGACAATTCTAGCTTTTCAAAGAACTGTGCAATGCTTAGAGCTAGACAAGCTTTGGAAGTCAGTCAGTGTTTGTTCCTGCCTGGCAAAGTTCTGCAGGGAGTGTTGTGCTCTCTGAATTCATGTCACAGCACCCCCATCAACTACGAAGGGCCCATCATTTCTTCAGGGCATTTATATCGAGCCACGTTCAAGGCGAATGAGTGAGAAGAAACTGGAATAAGTTTTATGATCTTAGAATCAGTGGGTGTTCTCTTTGAACTAATTAATCATTCTTTCCTCCAAACTCTTTAGATGGCCACCATGCTTCCCTTTCCACATGGGGAATCCTAACTACAAAGGAAACAGACAAGGAAGCAGGTAAAGTGTTCTCATTCCCGTGCCTTGGAGGAAGGCGAGGCAGGTTTTGTAAGCAGCCACCCCCTTCCACACTTACCCAGCTTTCTTTGTTTTTTAAAGGATCACTCACATATTTGCGAACTCTTCAGAGGGAGCACAAGGTCCAAGTGTGCAAGCCTAGACCCTGCCCCTAGAGGGCCTAGCGGTGCTTGGCTGCTCTAAAGTGGACACGTGGGAAGCGACCCATAGATCTGCACTCTCCCATGTCCCGCAGAGAAGGGGGCCACTGGAAACAGGATTCAATCAATGGCAGGAGCAAGTGCCCCCAACATCTTGTGGGTTGATTTTATCCTTTTATTTACAACGCTGCTAATATGCTACATGCGCCTTGACTGTGCGTCAAATACTCAGTATTTTGATTCTGACAGATGAAAAGAGTAAGTAGCAGGTAAGCCACTCCCACACCTACCCGGAAAGCAAACCGGAGACTTTAGAGTTTATTCTGGAGGCTGAAACCTCTTCTCATGGAAGACATGTTCTTTAGATGAGCCCCAACCTTCTTTAAACCTCTTATATCTGGAAACGTAACCTCTAAAGAGAAAATCATAACAAAACGTGACAAAATGGCAATGTAAAGCTCCCTGGATGATCACAGAGTGAAGAGTCCTGAACCACCACACAAGTCCAAAAAACAGAACGTCCACCAACTCTCCCCGTCCGCTCACACCTGCTCCCAGTCACTAACCCTCCGTCTTCCCTAAATGTACCCACTATCCTGATTTCTGACACAGTCATCCAGTCTGGCTGTTTTTGAATCTCATATAAAATGGAAATCAAAAAAAAGGTAGTCTTTTGTGCCTGGTATCTTTTACTCAGAAAATTAGGTTTGACAGATTCATCTGTGTCACTATATAGAACTGTGACTCATTTTTATTGTATAATCTTCCATTTTATGAATATACCACAATTTAGGGATCTATTCCACTGCTGACAGACATTTGTTTCTCTTCTTCAGGGATTACAAACAACGCCAGGAACATTCCCGCACGTGTGTTTCGGCACCTGTGTGGACACACGTGTGTTGTTTGTAACCCAGAACCAGAAATCAATGGGTCAAACCCTAAACTTTTTCAGAGTTCTTGTACCAGTTTACCTGCTCTGGAATCAAAAAATGAAAATTAAAGCCACAGTTATAAACATCTGGATGAACCTCACAAACCTAGTATCGAGTAAAATTTAGATGAAAATCCCTGTTTCACATCCTTCTAGTTTTGTTTTTTTCATTAAAAATGTTAGTCTTCTTAAATGTTATCCATCGTGGCAGATGTGTGGTACCTCCCTGTGGTTTTCTTTTGCATCTCTTGCCCAATTTTCTACTGCACTGTGTGCTCCTCTGCTTGGTCTGCCCCCCAACAAAACACCACGGCCTGGGTGCCTTACACAGACACGTCTTTTCCCACAGTTCTGGAGCTCCACGACTGGTGTTCACAGGGCTGACCTGCCGTCCTCAGCCCCCCTGAGGAAAAGCAGATCCTGTGTGGCCCAAAGCTCCCATTAGGAGTTATACTGTTGACTGTCCAGTGGCCAAGGCCACCAGGTAAACAAAGACACTCTTATTGGGCAGGACACTCCAAGGGCCTAGAGACCACCTCCTAGCAGCCACGGGCAAAGGCCAGACCTCTCTTTGGGTAAGGTTAATTTAATACTACATCTGCGCTTCTAGAATCTGCCAACTTACACTGCCCCTCGGACGTCCAGGAGGCAACCCAACCCTGGCACGTCCAACACCAATGGTTCAGTCTCCCTCCAGACTGCACCCACAGGCTCTCCCCTGTCCTCAGATGGTCACTGCACCTCCTTATTTCTCCCCTGGCCCCATGGCAACAGCCTCCCAACTGGTCTTCCTATTGCCAGCATCGTCCTCTTCAGTCTGCTCCCAACACAGCGGGCAGGGTGTCCTTTCGTGTCCCCCGATTCACATCCTGCCAATGGTTTCCCTTCCCACTCAGTGTAAAAAACCCTGTGTTCCTACAAGGTCTGACGGCCGGGGCTTTAAGCATTTATTTTTAAAATTCCACTTGGTAAGAACTATTTGTCACAGCAAAGACACACCAAAGCAAAACAAGTATTTCATTAAACAATACTTACCCAAAACAATACTTGACTTTTTATGCGCTGTTTTCTCTGTGTTCTGCTCTTTCGTCCAGAAACACTTGGCAGCAGCCTAGTAAATTGATTTCATGAATACTTATCGGGTCATGCCCAGCACTGCAAAATACACTGCTCCGTATATACAAGCTTTGCCCCCTCCCCCCAGCACCTCACACTGGCACCCTGACCGCGCCCCCGGGGGCGCCCCCTTGCTTACTCCACCCAGGAACAGCGGGCCTTGCAGTCCCCGGGGGCCTTGGGGGCCTTTGCAGCGATCACTGTGTCTACCTGGAATGTTTGCCCCCAGATATCACAAGGGCTCGTTCCCTCACCCTCTTTCAGATTTAACTCCAATGTCTGCAGTGAGGCAGCCCCCTTTACCTCCTACATCACTGACCAGCCTCTAGGATCCCCCAGGGCTGAAACAGATCCATCTTCCCCAGAACTCATCGGACCTAAAAAGAGCCTTCACTATCAGGCCCTGGAAAGATACCTGGCTTCCCACGGCTCGTCACCCTGGCTGGTCTGGCCATCCTCCTCCAGGACAGAGCTGGGGTTGGAAGACCACCAGAGGACAGCTACTTACAGAATCCGATGTCCTGAGGGAGAACCTGCGGACCAGCTAACAGGATGCAGGGGACAGAAACTGCCCAGGACTCAAGGGAGGGCGGGGGGGGGGGGCGGAGAATAAAGCTCAGACACCTGTTCTAGCACTTCCTGGCCACTGATCTTTGACAGTCGGCTTCATGTCTCACGGGTCTGGAATTCTTGGCTACAAACTGGAGTTTCATAGCATCCCCTACCTCACAGGAGTTTACGCGGAACACGAAAGACAAAGAGGGCCGCCAGCCGAGTGGGGGTTACACACAGCGGTGCGCCGGGGTGGCTGACGCCGCTCGCCAGGGCCACCTGCTAAGCCTTCAGGCATTTTGTGAGTTGCTTGTTTAAACTCAACGATTATGAAAAATTAAATTATATAAATTTACAATTAAATAGCTTATACAAAAAGCAAAGTTAAGGGCGGGCACCTGGGTGGCTCAGTTAAGCGCCTGCCTTCGACTCAGGTCATGATCCCAGGGTCCCGGGATCAAGCCCTGCATCAGGCTCCCTGCTCGGCGGGGAGTCTGCCTCTCCCCCTCCCTCTGCCCCTCCTTCCCACTTGTGCTCACTTGCGCTCTAATAAAATCTTAAAAAAAAAAAAAAGCTAGCCGATACCCCACATCTCCTCATCACTTCACCATTATCCTCACTCATGGGGTTGTTCACTCCTCTTGTGTGGTGGCAATACTACGTCGTGGGCTACTGTGCGTTGCTTTGTAACTAACTCCACATTCAGTCACTGCTAGTTTGAGATCCACTGTGGTGGAAATAGTTTCACCACAGAAATGGGCACGCATTACAAATTAAAGGGGTTTTGTGCGTGTGTGTGTGTGGTTCTTGTTTGTTTTCCTGAGAGCTATCAAACATTTATTGACACACCATTATTTTCAGAGAATGTTCTCAATAAATGCCTTCCTCTGGTCTTCCTCTCACCCAAGTGGGGGCAAGAACTATCAGGCAGGCTTGCTTGTTTGCTCATTCCCTTCATGTTCAGAGCTCTACACTGAACTTTACTGGGTAAAAACAGTCTGTGATCAGACTCCCAAAGTGGGAGTCTCTACCGAGTACTAATGTCACTGAAACAACATGTGGCTTCTGTTTGGTTCATAAGAAAACTTCCTTACCGCTTACCATGATTTGCAGTTCTGTAAGGTTTGTCACTTGGTTAGTCTAACTTCAAATCCACACCGGCTTTGATGTTGTCATTTACCAGCTTCTATGAAGCCCATGGGCTGGGCTTTCTCTACACATGTTGATTTTAACTCCATTCAAAAATATGAACAAAGGTTCAAAAAAACAGTTTGGCAGGGGCATGGGGGAAGGGGACGATGTAGAAATATCTTCCCCACAGGCCTGGAAATTTCACTACAAGTTGCAACTTTGGAAGATAATAGGGGATATTTACACGTGAGCATCAGGGAGCCCCAAAGCTCCCTGGGAAAAGGAAATACCCCACCATCTAGAGAATTAAGAGCTCAAGACAAAAGAGAACATGGGAAGCAGTTAGTCCAAATCACAACTAACTCACTTTTCAACCATCAATAAAATTTTGTTCCTCATTTTATGGCCATTTTTCCATACTTACACTGAACTTTTACTACTTCTTATAAGTGATTATGCAAGGAACCAAGAATGAAGACTCCACAACCACCACCTTGAACTGCCAGCATCCTTGAGTAGGATTCCAATCTGCGCCTTGACAACATCATAAAATATAACGGTCTTGAATTTTTCAACTGAAGGAAGAAACTGAGGGGTCAAGAGTCCTGCAGCTGGAAACCCCACTGCCTCATTAGAGAGAATGCTCCTTGCTTTGGAATGGGGGAGGAGTGTTGGTCTCACTGGGATCTCAGGGCTCGCTCCTCCCCTCCTGACAGTCTAAGAACCAGGCCACTGGCCAATATATGCCTCAAAAAGGAGCCACCCGTGTTCCTCCTGAAATTTCACGATGTTTTCATATTCCTGCTTACCGGTAATCTAAGCTCTTCATGGCCTTGCCTTGGGGGCCAGAGCACAGAGCCTGCCTGCAGCTGCAAGGGCAGATCACTCCTCCAGGCTGTGGAGTCTAGTATTTCCTGCAGAATTGCTGCTAAACCCATAATGTAAGAAGAGGGAACCTCTCCTAGGGAAAGAGACTGTCACTGCCTGCAGGAGCTCATCGTTACGCAGTAGGGATCGATTAAAACCTGTTTGTGCATTTTCCGTACACGCTGCTCCATCTCCGTCCTCTGAGCTTCCAGCAGTTTCTCCCGACATCGTCACTCCCCTTCCTCCAGCCCACTTCGCCTCTCATCCAACACCTCCACTGATATTCCGGAGGCCTCCCCAACAGCCCCCACAACACCTACAACCCACGCTAGGATGCACACCAGGCATGTTTTCAAAAGTAAGACTTTCTGCAGCTTCAGGGACCCTTCTTAGGGACAGTAGGCTGATTCTTCTAGACTGGAGGTGAAACAGGGGTGATACAAAAACGTTAAGGTGCTGGGCTTCAAGAGGGCAAAGTACAGAAACCCAAAGGGAAGTACTCACCTGGAACAAGGAGGGAAGAAAACACGGGATGATGAATTTTCAGTGCGTTCCCAAACTTGCCCACCAGAGAGAAGCCTCGAGCTGCCGGCAGGCTGGCCAGAAACCAGAGCACGCTAAGTGGGCGGCTTCTGACCATCCTCATGTTCCCTGTTCCTAAGTGTTTAGAAAAAAAGGATACCCACTTAAAACAAAAACAACAAATTCAGGACAAAATGAAGAACGATTTACTTTTCTACATTACATTCTAATTTTTATAAATTTTTTGTCAATCTATTTTCCATCATTTGCCATAGTACGTCTTCACTTTTGTTTCACTTAACCAAACATTTCTGTTAGATTACTGTGTGTTCATAATAATCACTGATTCTGTTGCACAATTCCTCAAACTTGTTGGTCTGATTAAACTTAGAGTCACTCATCTGCTTTGTCAGGAGGAAATACAGAATATTTTGGGTGCCCTAATTATTTTACAATACTCCTGATCCTAGCTCCTTTAGAATTGGTTCCTTAAAATATGCATGGTTATGGACATTCATGAAGTTTTCATCATATTACTGTATTGATTGTATCAGAATTTCCTAATTTATGAAGGCATTAGCTACATATGACTTAGACTACCATATAATTTTAAAGTGGTTATTAGAAATAAAATGCTCTCCTCAAACTTAAGTTTTATTATATACAAGTATTATTTTATACAAGTATAAAAAAACAAAAGAGCAAAGCAAACCCCCTCTTTTTTTCCAAACTGCCTCTTCTTACTTTAATAGAACTAACATTTAATCAGATTTCTCTGCTGGCTAGATGTGCTAGGCTAAATATTAAAAATTCCCAAGCAAATGCATTTTTCCCTTATACTTTACTGTTATCCAAAGAAAATATAAGGTCCTCCTATGTCATTAATTGTAATTTTTGCTCATTATCAAATATGACACATTTAGGTTTCAACGGAGTTGAAGGTTTGTGAGATACTATTTGGATTACACAACTCACAAAGGCAATAGCTAGGCTGACAGCTCACATTTCAGCGGAACTCAGAAAGCTTAGTAAGCTGGTGATTCTGTCTTCCAGCTTCTAAAACAAACAAAACACTCCCAGTGGTTCAGACACAAGTCTCACCACCCTGTCTCCCATATTCCAGCAGGACAGAAGGGTAAATATATCGGATTCCACGTTGGTGGAGTTCCTACCACTGGTTTTGGTTTTCTCCATAAGTAGGGCAAAGGTCCTGTGGTCAAAGTAACATCTGATCCAGTGGCCAAACAGAAACGGGAGCGGGGGGAGTCTGCCACAGCCAATGTGAGCAACAGGGGGAGGACTGACCGCAGACCCCGCCACAGTGCCAGGAGCCACCTCCTCAAGAAGCAAGACTCTGGCGGAGTTCCAAATGCGTGGAGGCTGGGGCACAGTCAGGCAGAGGGAGTTTCCCTCCCGCACCCCGGTCCCCACAGGCCCTGTGGGTGTGTGTCTGGTAAAGGGCGCGATCCTCAGCACCCAGGGCCCCACAGGAGGAGGAACCAAGCCGACTATGGGGAGGGCTGTCAGAAGGCGACAGTTTGGACAGTGACCAGAAAGGAACAGGAGGAGGATGTCCAGCTCTACCAGACGATTTGCTCTGAGGACTTCCAGGGAAAGCGGTTCCGGTGGCCTCCGGGGACGGAGGTTCTGAAGCTGCTTCCACATGTTTCCTGGAGAACTTTGCCTGGTGAGCACCAGGCAACCTGCACCCGGCCCTACACCATCCTCCCCCCACTCCCCTTGCTCTAAGTTGTACCTGTCCAGATAGTACTCGTACACGGAGCCCTGGATACGTCCCCGAAAGCTCCTCACACACTGCACTGTATGGATGGAGGTTCCTGTGATTCGTCCCGCAGAACCGACCACCCCGACCTGCACAGTGGGCTCAGGACTTGTGAGACTCGTGCTGTGTGAATAACCTCGGGAGCCTGGTTAGTGAACTTGAGCTGGCCTCCAGGTCAGAACGGGCCCTTCTGTTCCGAACACCAAGAGCTACAGATCTGGTCTCCCGTCCCCTCCTGCTCCAAGCGGGGCTGGCCCCCCAGGATGGAATCCCCGAGGGGAGGCAGATGCAGAGCCCGGGCTCCTTGAAAATACAGAAACACGAAAACATGGAAATGCAGCTTGCTCCACACTGCACGTAGGCGAACAAATGTCTGACTGCAGACCCTGTTATTCGCCCTCCGAATACGGCCCTTCTATGGGGATGGCCAGTCCGTCTCAGCCGAGGGGAGGACGCTCTGCCCAGGGCTCCCAGTGGGGACTCCGGCCTGGCCGTCTCCACGGGGCTTCCCCAGCTGATGAGGCTGGATGTTGTAAGCACCCATCTGATGCAGCTTTGCCTTATTCTCCTTTGCTGCTTACTATTGCTCTCATCTATGTGCAGATTTCCCTTTTCTTCTTTCCATTTCTACTCTATTTTTATAATACCAATAAAGGGGTTTTTCCACTTTGAAACTGAGAGTACAGCTGCTGTAAATCTTTTGTTCAGAACAGACACGACGCCTTCTAACTCCTCATTCAGCAGACAAGAAAACAATACGATAAAACGACTCGATGCCCAAGTAGTTAACTGCAGTGAATAAAAGCAGAGTAACTATAAAATAGGACAAGTTGATAGAGGTTGCATTAAATATAATTTATAAACACTGCTCATTTGCCTACTAACCACACAGTACAATATTTATTTATTTAAATAAATGTTTATTTAAATATTTAAATCCGTGTAACACAAACTCGTAGATGGTACACCTGATTCGACTCCGTTTGATGCTTAGGTTTCCTAGTTCATCATATTAGGCATCGTGGCCTAAGAATTTCCGCTTATAACATTAAAAAGCATGAGAAAATCCAGAGGACATACGTGGACAGAGAAGGGGAGAGAAAGGATGGGAAGGCAATGGCAGGAAAGAGATGGGAGAAGGCAAAACAACGGGTCAGGAATGAGCTCCTTCTAGAAGGTGACTTATGAACGGGAAAGTGGAAGAGGCAATTCCACACAGCCCAGCCCACAGGAGACAGATGGGTGATATCAACATGGAAACTGGGTGAGTTATAAGGCAACCAGGCATGATAGGGCCTAGGGCAAAGCAGGGAGCACACTAACATTCAAATTTTTCAAATACTGAGGCGCCTGGGTGGCTCAGTTGTTAAGCATCTGCCTTCGGCTCAGGTCATGATCCCAGGGTCCTGAGATCGAACCCCGCACGGGCTCCCTGCTCTGTGGGAAGCCTGCTTCTCCCTCTCCCACTCCCCCTGCTTGTGTTCCCTCTCTCGCTGTGTATCTCTCTGTCAAATAAATAAATAAAATCTTAAAAAAAATTTTTTTTCAAATAGTGTATCCAAACACAGTGTGTCTATCCTGGGTACCAGCGCCATACCCCTCTATACACCACCAAACAGACAAGTTCTCAATCCCTGTAGAAGGCTTCAGCATTAAAAGTGTTAGACTAGTAAATCATTCATTCAACAAATATTTACTGTGCATCTACTATGAACTAAGTACTTTACTAGATTCAAAAACAAATATTTTAATCTCTATAAAACTTAATTTCTTCATCGATACAATGGAGATATTAACCCTGATTTACCCATCATCCTCAGCCCGATCCTCTGTGCCTGTGGGAGGTAGAGCTTTTTCTCAATTTCTTTAAATAGCTCTGCCAGGCTCTGGTGGGTGCTGGCATGCCCTGAGGACCCACCCTGACTCCGGTGCCCATCTCCCTCAGCTGCCTGACTCTCTACCACTGCTCTAGTCTTCTGCAAGGCCTTCCTTTTCCTATGGAGTCTCACTGTTTTCAGCCTGCTCTGTTGTCCTGATCTGCTCTGCCTCACATATATGTACGTAAAGGCCTTTTCCCTATTAAGAAGGAATAAGATATGAGAATCTAGAATTTCCCCCAGAGAACGCTGAGTGCTGAGAGAATCAAAGAAGCAGACCACAGCTGGGACTGAAAGGAGGATATTAGAGACTTCTCTCCAAATCCAGTGGGGGTGACTGCTCTCCAGTGGTGTCTGGGAGACACGGATCCTTCCATCCTATGGCTCATCCATCTTCAGGTTATGGCTCCCAACAATGCCCTGCAGTTGGTCTCTAATCAGGAGTCTGAAGAGAAAAAGGGCATGGAGTACTGTGAAGTGATCGGTGGTTATGGGTCAAGTCTGGAAGGGCAAACATTACTTTTGCTCACCTTCTACAAACCAGAACTCAGTCTCTTGGCTATGCACACTGACCGGTAGACCTTACCAGGAGTCTGGCCTCGAGTCCAGGGAAAAGAGGAAAGAGACTGTAGTAAACATGTAATCATCTCTAGCACAGATGCTTTCCTGACTATCACTATGACTGGCCCATTTCCCCTTCCTGCCATGTCACCGGGGCTAGCATCTATCCCTGGACTGGGTTGGTGTTACGTAATTAAGACAAGAACAAACCAATGCATCACCTCCAGCATCAAACCAACTGTTAAAACAATGTGTAAGTCAAATGATTCTGATTAAGAATCATGTCAGTGAAAGAAATGTAATAACTGAGGTAATTTTTGTTACTACTTTTTAGACAAACTTCACTGCAGTCCCTTATATACAGTCAACTACACAGAATCTCAATGTACAACTTGGTGAGGTTTGACAATTGTATGTTCCCATGTTACTCCCACCCTAACCAAGACAGAGACTATTCCCATCATTCCAAAAAGTTCCCTTATGCTCCTCTGAAGTCAATTTAGTAAGACCTAAATAAATGGGAGAGGCATACTGTATTCATGGATGGGAAAGCTTACAACTGTCAAGACACCTGGGTGGCTCTGTCGGTTGAGCCCCTAACTCTTAACTTCGGCTCAGGTCATGATCTCAGGATCATGAGATCATGCCCCGCATCAGGCTCTGCACTGGGCATGGAGCCTGTTTGAGATTAACTCCCTCACTCTTCTTGGCTCGCTCTCTCTCAAAAAAAATTTTTTAATTTTTTTCATTTATTTTCCTATTTCTCTCAATTCTTTTCTTAAATTATTGTCTTTATATATATATATTTTTGTTTCCTTTCATTGTATTTTATTTTATTTATATACATATATTTTTCTTCTTTCTTTATTTCTTTCTTATTTTGGGATCTTGTTTCTTTTAACAAGCATACCAAA